AATCTGCTAGTTAGCCTCTTTGATGCATCATTATGACAGTATAGCCTGCTGGACCTCCTCCGTCCAGCGATTCGCACGTGCCCTTGCTTTACACCATTCTATTCTTAATGCTGCCGGACCATCTCAGGACCATGCAAATCACGATGAAGCGAAAACTGCTCACCATCTGTGAGAACATCTCCTGCAGCAGAAACTCCCCGCGCCTTCCAGATCCAAGAGAGAGTCCTATTGCCCTCTGATTGTCCTGCCTCGCCTTCCGACATGCCACGAACGTGTGCTTGCTCCAGTATCGGAAAGACCTCCAGCCAGTCATGTTCGCCGAGCGTCTCATGCAGATTTTTGAGTGCGTTCCTTGCCCTGCGATACCTGTCTGCAGCCTCTAAGACATTGCGTTCAACATTTCCGATTACAGCAGAAGCGCGGGTGTTGGCTCGTTGACCACGGATATTAATGTGCTTGAATTTGTACAGATGAGTGCGTAAGAGGAGATGGCGACGGAGGTCATCGAGTGCATCAAAGGATTGCCCTCGACGCAGTTCCCATTCGAAACGACAGAGCTGTTCATCACACACAGCGTCTGGGGCGTGCTCCTTCAACTCGGAGGGAAGGAATAGATTGATATTGTGTGCCCTTTCCTCAAAGGCCCCCGCGCTGGAATCACGAGTAGTTCGGATGTGTGATGCCGAGGGCATATACAAGAGCTGGACTTGGCACCATTGTTCGACTTTACGCTTCAGAGCGTTCGTCCGATCTTGTATCTTTGAACGCTGGAGATCAGTTGAGTGTGCGCCAAGGGCTGAAATGTCCCGCTTGAGCCTGTTTCTAGTAAATACCAATGTTAATTCTTCAAGTTTGACAAACAAAGAGGTACATCGACTTACTGTTCTTCCTCTATGGCGATACCTGTTGAAATAAGAACCGCGGGTGATATCTCACTATGAAGGGAATGATTGACACCATGCTTGAGATCATCAGCCTCTTTCTGAGAGAGGCTCAGCCGCACGGATGCCTGCGTCATAGCTGCGTGATAAACATAAGTCGAATGGTGCTAAGTATAAAATATCAACTCACTTGCTGTGGTTGCACCGAAGGGGTTCGTCACAGACATATCTGCTTCCCACTCTTCGACAGCAATCCTCCATCGTGACACCTCCTCTGACCTTTCTGCGATGAGGGTGTCGTTGAACTCGCGAAAATCGCGCTGATGCCGTTCACGTTCAGGCATAGCCACCTTGAGTTTTCGCAAAAGGCTAACACCTAAATCGTCGCCATAGTCAAACGGTGTTCGCAGCTGGCGGTAGGCTTAAAGTGACTCACCCAAATTGGTAACTTTCTTCCAATTGAAGTCGCCAAAGTGATCATCCAGTGTATCGCGCCGAGCGCCCGGACCCATTTCGCGTGTGCTTGTAGCTACAGGGTTTATGTTCGCCCAGCCACGCTCGGGAGCCTCGCCGTCAGTCCGGCCCATACCTCTGATGAGATTGTGCGAATAAGTAATCTGACACGCCAAGATATGCGCGGGAAGATGGAACTTCGGGACAAGAAATGTCATGGATTTGTCGGCGCAATTGAAGCGAATATGATCGGGGTACTTGAGCATTCGTGCTTGAATATTTTTACTCCACTGGCAGGCGATGTCGTATGATACGTTGAAAACAATGAGGTCCTTCGCGTGCTGCATGGTGGAGCAAAATAGGTAATCCATATTCACGTATCTGTGAATGTGGTGTAAGATGAAGTCGGAGCAGAAGACTATAAGTACGTACTTTTCCCCCTTCTGGAGGTCTCCAACGGCACATGGCTGTTTAAAGTTATGGCGTGAGCAATCCACGGTCCCAGCACCTGTTGCTGCAAGACCGCAGGAGTTCTTCGTCTCGGCCAGGTTGACAGCATCATGACTTGCACATGTACTTTTCTACTGAAAATTAGCGTCTACATCCCCAGTGATTACAAAGAAACTACATACCTCTTGCGGCTGCTGGCCAACTTCGTTGAGGAAGGTCTTGTATCCCTGTTCCTCCACAAAGTATGACCATCCGTTGCTCAAACCAGGATCGACCTTATCCGAGGAAACATTCTTCCGCGCCAAGCGAAAGTTTGCGTCAATCGCAATGAAAATTCCATAAAGCCACCTGTTGGCACAGAACTAAGTAAAATGGCATACAATGAGGTAGATTTGACATACCGTTTTTCAGGAACTGCATCCTCCCAACCCTGCGGTAAATTTTTACCTGGTTGGGGACAAGCAGGACATAGGACAGCGCAAGAACCACATTGAGTTGCACTGATACCTTCGGGGTCATGCCCACGGCCAAATCGTTTGAGTAGTGTCAAGTTCCGCCATTCTTTGATCATCCGAAGTAGCGCTACGTAGTGATCCTGAACATATGTGAGATTTGCAGCCTACACTGAGATAAATGCACACTTACCTTAGGAGGATTGATGCCAGAGTTGTCGGACAGCCGTGACAGTGTTTGCCAGCACTCAAAGGCCGATGCCTTTGATTCGAACGTGAGGATATGGAAGTGATGAAGGAGCCGAAAAGTCGCAGCTGTTTTTGGATTGAGGGATGTTGCTGGAAACTGTTACGATAACATACTTCGGACTGGCTCACCCTATCTTTTCCCTATCATGTACTACCATATGACGCCTTATCACCTTCTTGTACAGCATCCTTGATCGCCGTCTTATCTCGTATCTCTTATCTTGTACCCTGTACCCTTACCATTGCCCTGGTAGTCCTGCCCTGAACTGACCTTTACCTATAAAGTAGTCGATCGTCTTGCCTTGTATTCTTTAACTTGAATCTACTCAGTCTTCTGATAGACCTTCCTTGAGCAAGACAGCTCTCGTATACGATTTCACTAAAGACTCTTCGTCTTAAGTGCCTTTACCTGATCGATACCATTAGTCTTGTCTTCGCTTGCCGACTCTTGTCACCAAGCCTTGACCCCAACGATAACGATAACGAATCTCTGCATTATCTTCGTCTTACGCTAAAAGACCTAGTACAGAGCTCTTACCTGAGTCTATGCCTTCAGCGTAACAGAAACCACCGGACACGGAGGAGTTGAGTTGTTACCGGTTGAGCCGTCCCACATCCACAGAAGTCTACTGCGACTGAATGTACACCGTTGACATCGAGAACAACGAAGTCGTTGTGAAATGCTGTTGACACCGGGTTGCAACAACGGTTTCCAACACGATGGCCAAGCTGAATTCTGAGTCCAAGGGCTTTGAGGTTGGTGTTCTCGAAGTGCCCGTCGACCCAGTGCTAGAGTAGGGCCTTTTAAGCGATAAAATCACAACTTTGAACATACAAACCAACCTGAAGTCGATGTAACGGACTTTCTTGATGTCTCACCAACATACATCCCTTGCAATACAAAGCTGTGCCGAAACAGTCCCGACATCGGTAGTCTGGATGTCCCTGGCATCCGTCATGTCCCTCGCAAACTTGATCAAAAATGAAATCGCCACGTCCATCCAACCGGAGAAGCTCGAGAAGAAAGTTCTCGCGTTCTTGAACCCAAACTGAGAGAGGATTATCCTGACAAGTGGTATTAGTACAGTAACTAAGGCTGTATGTGCGGCAGCTTACATTAACGGTTCGGTTTTGCTTGGCAGGTTCACCAGTTGTATCAGCTATGTGCTCATCATAAATGGTATATTCCGCAGTGTCCAAGTTGTCATCAAAGCTGAATTCGGGTTCTTGAATTTGTGAAGGGACTTGTAGGCTAGTAGGGATGCTATCATCTTGCGAGCATGAATAGTTGGTTTGCATGGCGACACGACCAGGTCCAGCGATTGTGTGCAACTGGACTTTGTGGTAAAGAAGTTGGGTACCATCCGTCTCCTGAACCAGTCGTGATTGTGAGGCTCGTTGGCGGGCAGCATCCTGTGCAGCGTGATTTGCTCGGTTGAGGTCATACCACGCTTGTGTGAGTTTGTCGTGTTCTCGTCTGCGCTTACTCTTGCTGGGCATGAGGATAAGTAGTATTAGTAGCAGTGTTTGAGAGCGTGGGTTTTGGTCCGACTGGTTCAACTCACATTTCCTCATTCTTTTGAACCAAGACTACACACCGTGGTACTATCAACCAAACTCCTTTCTAGCCAAGGCGTCATGGCTCGTCCCATCATTCATAAAACTCTTGAGGCAAAATTAGCCGCGGCTCGTGAAAAGCGCCGACGCTATTATGCAAAGTATGTCACACCTTATATGAATAATTTCCGAGTGTTCCTGACTCACAGGCTTGTCTCAAAAGAAACAAAGAGCTTATTCTCAAAAGACGGAGGGAACTTCATAGCGCCAAACCTGAGTGTGACATGAAGGAATCACAGAAGATGTTGGAAGCCATTTCAAAAGCCTTGCATTGCTCTGCCAGTGATGAGGACTCCGACCCTGCATCTGAACCTGATGAAGAGAATTCTTCTGATCATGATGCCGAGGCAGACCTGTATGTTCCTTTTTATATAAATAGAAACATATCATATTCATATCCAATAGATCTGATCTCATGCAATGTTTGATCGCTCTCAAGATCATCAAGGATGACATGTTGGAATTGACAGATGATCCTTGCGCCTTTGTCCAAGGTGTCTTCCTTGAGTACGTTAAGACCCTGGATAGCAGCGCTAAAGGTGATGTCACCATCCTCGAAAAAATGTTGGCCACTGTTGAAGGCTTACTCAACCGCGTAATTCCCATCCAAGATCAAATTCTCAATTTCTGTGGGATAGCACCTGAGTGGCAAGCAGCTGACTTGGTGTCCCGCTTCCTCAGGACTATTCTTGCGTACCTAGAGGATATCTTATGTCTTTTGAGATTTAATGGACCTTCCGAGCTCGCAGTCGCTCACTCAATGGGAGAACTAATGTACCAGAAGGGTATCAGAATTTGACAGAGATCTCAACTGCCCACACATGTATATAGATTAGTTTTGCTTTGGACGTTTTCAGTCAGAAAATTCAAGTTGCATTGTATACTCTGTATATAGAAGGCTGTGGTAATGATATACGGTTCGGTTTTTCAGTGAGAGGACCTTGGTTGGATGATGAGTTCAGGCTTCCGATGAGTCATCAGTGACCGCTGCAGAACCTTATTTTCGTTATTTCCATCAAAGCCCACATTACGACAAAAAAACACCAATCAGGCCATTCAGTAAGTGTGTTATTCCCATATGTCGTACCGTGTCACGTCACTGATAAAAATATGCTGGCGGCTAGTACCAGATGGCAGGATCAGAATGGACATCTCCTGAGCAAAAGTCGTATCTACAAGGCTTGTATAGTGATTTCCTCAAAGCGCAGGCTCAAGGGACTGTGTCGGCCTTCTGGCCGGGGGTTTATCTCACTTGGTTTGAAAAATGGCCCGAAATCAATTTTGTATTCCCTGATGCGTCAATGCATGGATTTCTAACAGAGGAACAGAATGCATTATTGGGGACAGCCATAGATAAGAGACATCAGGTGCGAGTACCAAGCTCATATGTGTAATTGTATCATGTATTCAAGTTTAAAAACAGCAAATTAGGACTTGGTTCAATTATAGATCGCAACGTAGTGGACGTGCCTCAGTCAATAAAATGACGAAATGGATTCATATGATGATGGGAAACAAGGCGAAGGGGACCCGAGTTCACAGCGCTGCAGAAATCTTTTCCAAAAAAGGTTTTGCGACCAATGTCCGAGATCAGATGGAGGAGGCTATTGCTTCGGGCTCGGTTGTTACGAAGGCTGAGAGACTTAACACTATGAAAAGGCTTACGAGAGAGGCATATGAAGCTGCGCATCCTGAGGTGAAGGCACTATGCTTGGCAAAAGTGGAAGAAGAACGTGAGACAAAAGCTAGCGAGCTGCTCAAGCCAGGAACACGAGAACGAACAAATGCGGAGCTAGCTAAGTTCGTTGACCTCATCAATATGAAAATTGTCAGCTCATCGTTACCAAATAGAGCCCTGGAAGAATGTACCGCTCCCATCGCACACTTCTTACAAGCCATCCATGAGATGACCGGATTCCACTGGACCATTCTGGGTGCTGGTCCTGACCCTCGTTGTAACGGTGATATCAACGTCATGAGGTAAACAAAATTTTGCACTGCGTATACTACCTACTGATATTTCAAAGTTACCACACAGGAATCAATGAGTATGGGCAAAACTGGCAGCAGGCCACTCCCAATTTTGATGATAAGCACATCAAGCCATTTGTTGCCTTCGTTTCGAGTCTTTTTCGTAAGTCATCCTTCTCTTCCCTTATCATGAGGTTTGTGGACTTACGCAACACAGCGGAACACATCAGGAAGACACGCGCGCTTGATCATGTCCTCCCAACCCCCTCCTCGACTCTTGGAACTGAAGCCAACCCAGTGGCTGGGGAGTCGCAGTCTTCCGATGCCAGCCATAATCTTCCATCAACCTCGGCATTAACACGTTCTCCCCACCTGCTTCCTCATGTTCCTCATGTGCCCATCCCTGCTGATGGAAACGTGCACCAGCCTCCTGCTGATGTTTGGTATCCGGCTCAGCATCCGCAAGGGCTTATTTCCTTCGACCATGGATATGACCTCGATGGATCAGTGGACTTTGGAATGTCGGACTTCCACAACCCCTCTGAGGCCAGCGCCATGATCACATCAGGGCAATTTGGAATGTCAGACTTCCACAACCCCTCCGAGATCAGCGTCATGAGCGCATCAATGCCATCATCAAGTCTATCCGCTTGTTTAGACTCACCATCAATTTCGCCCATCTCCACATGGACTCAGAGGGACGTGCATTATACTTCTCCTCCACGCCTTCGCCCACGGCTCTTTGCTGCCAACTTCGCATCTTCAACTCCCACATCTGGCATAATCAGCAGGCCTTCTCCAGCACCATTCATTGCTCCACTCACATTCAACTTCCCTTCCCTCCCAGCCCCCCTCCGAACGCCTGGTTCTTCCATGCCGGCTCCCACTGTATCCCTCCCAACATCTGGTTCTTCCACTCCAGCTCCCACCGTATCCCTCCCAACATCTGGTTCTTCCACTCCAGCTCCCACTGTATCCCTCCCAACACCTGGTTCTTCTACTCCTCCTCCCACCGTATCTGCGACGATCAGTGTTGAAGTCAGTCATGGTGGTGCTGCGGTGTCCGGACAAAGTCTCTCCAACCACGCCAACATTGCAGAAAACGACACTGCAAATGCAAGTGTCGAAGGGATAGATACCTCGGGTGTGGGAACACCTGGCGCCACTGCGGTAGAAGCAGTCCGAGTCGACTCGGACAAGGACGTTACCTTCTCCAAACCCAAAGGCCATCCTACCCGCGGCAAGCATATACGACAAGTCCCCACGGTCTCAGAAATACCCAACGACTCAAATAGCACCCAGCCTGTCAGAAAAACTGGACGTATTCGAACAGAGACGACTCGATTGATGCAGGCCAACAACATTGGCCAAAATCTCAAGCGTTCAAGATCCACCAAGCCCCAGAGCGAGCGTCCTAAGAAAAAGTTAGTGTCTTTTTTCTGTCGTCACCTCAGCTCATGTATCACACACAGGAAAGCAACGTGATTCGCAGAATAGGTTTTCTTCTTGCAGAACATGTACATACCTTGATCTTTCTTGCGCGCATGTAGTAGATATTATTGTGAACATGTTTTTGTCTGCTGTCAAGTTGTTCGTCGTGTGAAGAATATATTTTTCAATGCAAAACAGGCAATGAACACAAAAATTACACTACAAGTCTATTGATTGGGTACTTGGTAGAAATCACGCTCGATCGAAGGACTTGGAGAAATTTCCTTCACAAGATCCAGATGAAGATCCATCAAGGCTCAAATCAGCAAGAAGCTGAGGGAAGCCAGGAACAGATGATCTAACAAGGCTCGAATCAGAAAGAAGCTGATGTAAGCCAGGAATGGATACGGATGAGTAGATTCGCGATTGGGATAGCCAAATGGAGGCGCGGATAACCAGCGGGAAGCGCTCGACAGCATTATGCATCATAGGTACCGTTATGCATAAAGGGAACAACAGTCGAGGATTAGCATCAGCCATGCATAACGAAGATGCCTGTTACCAGCCTTATTTATGCATAATTATGACAGCATAGCCTGAAATTACGATGGTACTCACCACATACTAACGGAATTGGCCGAGTGCAAATGCTCGCCCCAGCTCCCCAAGTTCCAGCCTGAGCAGTTGGACAGGACCTCCAGAGACATCTTATGTTCTAAGTCGAGGTTGTGTAGCTACAAAGGTGGTTATTAAGAGACGGGGTAAGAATTTCCTGCATCAGTCTGGTGCGTAAGTGATGAGGGGCTTTTTTGCTCTTGACTGCACTGAACGTGCGAGGCAAATTCACCAACGCGGCGATGTGGTCATCTGGCCAGCTCAGGGTTGTCGTCTAACGTGTATCCATCTCCCAGTCATTGTCGGGGACCGTAGCGCTGGCAGTGATAAACAGATGATGTTTCGATGTTAGCAAATGGCTACCAAGGAAGAGCTCACCGCATTGAAGGAGGAAGTTAAGTCATTCGGGCTACTTTTCAATGTTGACTGTGTTTATTTTTCTGTCCGAGGATGGTGTATGGGAGTGATGTGATGTGGCAGGCTTCATCGTCGACGATGGGGCATTCCGAAGGGTACAGAAGCAATCATATATTCTAAATCTGTCCAACCAGTCATCCCGAAACAACCGCCACTCTCGTCGTGCATCGTTGCCTGCCACAAGACACTCGACTTCAGCAAACATTGAAGATCTTGCAACTGACATCCTGTGTGAGATGGGTGAAAATCAGGATGACATAGTCACGACTCACAACATCGTCGTCTCGGTGTCAGCAGTTTATTTTATATTTATTTATGTAAATTTGATAAATTGGTTTAGCAAAACAAACTGACCGAAATAAACTATGAATACGTTTGAGCGATGACCATGATGTGAGTTTCTCCGACTAGATTTCACGGAGCTGACATTCGACCACAGAGAGAATACGGCCAAGTGTTCGTCATCTGGATAGGCGCCCATGTTGATACTGTTGCAGCCTCTACCGACAGCGGAATCCCTACCATTTTTCCTAAGGCTCAACCCCGGTCTCGTCTTCATCGGGTTGGACAGGGCCATGTCGAAACGACGTCTGTAACATCCACGAGGTTGATAGGTGAGTCGGCTTCTTGTAGGGAGGGGAGGGCGCAGATGCTGCCGCATCGGCAAGATGGTTGAAAAGCGATGACCATCAGTGAACTGGTGAAGAAAGTAGAAGGTCATATATCACAATATATAGTACATAATCACAAGAACTAGCACAATCCTGCTATCGAGGATTACATTGCTATATTTGGCCTTATAAATGGCACTGATTTTCTTACAGAAGTGTATGATCGGGAAAAGGTGGTAACATCACTTAAACTCAGACTTGAAGGAAAGGTGCAGTTAAAGTTGACAGTTGACCTAGACGAATTAAAATTGCGAGAGCAGAAGTAAGGTCCACAATTTGAAGCTAAGATCTAGACGAATTAAAATTGCGACAGCAGAAGTAAGGTCCACAATTTTGAAGCTAAGATCCAAGGTTCGTATGTTGCAGACAACGAGGATAGCTTAATCCGAATGAACAACCGTAAGTTTGCGCCCTGCTTCAAATGTCGATGCCAGCCCTTATGAAGGCTGATTTTCTTCTATTATATGTGAATCCTCCATGAAAGGATTCAAGGTTCGTAAATTGCACATAACGAGGATGTGTTCATCCGAGCAAGCGTGTGAACATTCTTTCCCATTGTGCAATGCGCAAAAACAAGCTATAGATTGAGCACAGCCTTCATCATTCGTGTGTTGCGTACCAAGCACATATCATTGGCCCTCTTATATCTAGTGCTACAGCATCAGCACACCACATGTCTTCCCACGCTACAAGAGACATCCATTATGCGTCGATCCGGGACCCCAGTTACTTATCTTCCCGATGCCGCGACTGTGTTATCGATTGGCAAAGTCGTGTACTTCCGTTCGACCGTCTGAAGTATCATCGGCGGGACTTTGAATTCGGTACGTTTTCCCATGGTGTTCATCTCACAATATCATGCTTCAGTCTTGTGATTACCGCGACAATTAGAAAATATTCGGATTGCTATGATCATGCTGTCTTTCGTTTATCTAGCATATCCAAGCACAATGGTGCCCCATTGACCAATCTTAATTATTTGATAATATTGCCACGCATCATCGGCCCGCGCGTCCTTTTGCACTACAACTGGTTATGTCCTGCAAGCGGGCGACACATCAGATTGTATCATATGTTGAGTCTTCAGGTGACCTTTTCTGCGTGTCTAATGACTAACAGTGGTATACAGCTTGCGACTGCGTCCAGAGGAGCTAGACCGTGCTCAGACATCGTATCGTTGCAGCAATGTACCTTGGCTTCACCACGGTACTTCGCTTACCATTCAACAGCCTTCGTGTATACTTGGCCATGTATAGATGGTCTTTCTGTTTGGTGAACTCACTTGAAATTTATGCGTTGAAGCTTCGTTCCCATTGATCATGCCATAATTATCCAAGTCAGAGACAGTGCTAGTAGCTTCCAAGTGACAGTCGTGTGTCCTCCCAGTAACCGACAATGTCATGTATGTATAGCCTCCGACTTTGATGCCATCTCCTTCAGATATCAAATGACCATTTGATGTATGTTACTTACCATTCGACAAGCGTACGGCGCATTGCGCCGTGCGTTAACATACTCATTTTTCTTCGTATACCACCAGTGAAATTCTTGACGGGGACACTCAGGACTTCACAATTTAGGTTCCTGATCCAGCAGCAAGAGACTTCAAAGTTAAGGCGTCTTTCAATCCCACGAGATTGCTATGCTTGCAATACATTTCCTAGTACACACAAACGACTGAACCACGTGGGTGAATGTACAATTTGGAGCTGAAATTGTCACATCAGCAATTGTATTAAAAACCACAGATATCGTCATGAGTGCGCTTGTGTTTCCATGCATTCAGCCTTTTAAAACCAAGAACAAAGATGATATTCAAAGTAAACTACTTGGTAAAATTACGTGTGGAGGCCAGTGATCGCCCGAAAATAGTATAGTAGAATATTGATAGGTAGCTAGGGTGAATCAAAAGTGATATCGTCACGCTGTGCCCTCTGCCTTGCAAGAGCGTTTACTGACATGTTAGCCTTTGCCGCGTCGCTGAGCTCATTACAGTGATTTCTTCTGAAAACTTTTCTTAAAACAAGGGTTTAGCTGAGGCTTCTCGGCAACGTAAATGACACACCTTGTTCACCACTCGAGAAGTCGGTTGACCCCAGCGCTGCGCTTCTCGACCAGGAGGCTTTTCAAAGAAGTCTACTATGGTCTGCCAGAATTTAATGTAGTCAAAGTCACCATCGACCGACTGCCACGAGGTAACAGATGAAAGCACAAATCGCACCTGTAAGCGTATTCATCATTTAATTACAACAAACAGTACAATAAAACACACTTACTTGACAAGCAATGTATGCAATCGAGCGAGGGGTCACTTTATCCATCTTAATGATTTGGGCGAACATGCTTCTTAACCTTGATGTCCGAGAATGCCTTCTTAGCGTGTCGGTTGTTCGCAATTACATCCGCGCCATCACCGTCACATTCGACATCCTTCGCTGAGGAGGGAGATGTAAATACAGCTTTGTAGGCCTGCAAAACAATGTGAGATCATCGTCAGGCAACCCGGGTGCGACGAACCTGCAGCAAAATTTTTCCCTTGAAAATACCTTCCTCCAAATTGTCAGGATTAGCAGTGTAATTTTCATACAAAAACGCCGGGAAAGAAAGGTCTGTCACGACGTAGCCCTCGGATCGATCTCGAATCCCTGCCTTTACACTGGCGAAAAGTTAGAGTTGCGTAAGATACGATGTTCATTACATACGCTGGGATGTTCCAGTCAAGTTCAGCCGGGCAAAGTAACCTGCCACATGCGTCATTGATGAACCCGCTGTAGGAGACGCCCTGTCTGCAGCCCCGTACGGCACCATTTCCCCTTACTGGACAAAGTCACGCATACCCTCTGCAGGCCGTTGCGGACCATCACACGAGGTTGCGGAATCTGCGCACTCATCGCATCGCAACGCACTATCCGTCCATGTCCTGTCTGCATCCATCCGTCCTCACTGGTGCGTTCTCATCCTTAGTTAGTCATTCCTAACCGTTCGCAGGGCCAGTTACATATCAGTTCCCATGCACGAGGTCGCATAGTGCTACTTACATATTATCCCCCTCCGACTTCGCGTACATATGCATTCGCTTATACAGTTCCGGTTTCTTACGGACTCTGTTATATACTACGTTGCGGACTGGTATCCAACACTTTCCTGGATTCCCTCTCTGGTTGTGTGTTGCGGAGTCACTAGCTTAGTCTTACCTTGTCCTTCCTTGCTTGAGCAATCACTTGTTTGCCTTCTCATCCCGTGCGAACGCTCGCATCGCCATTGACAGTTGACTATTGCTAGTCCTAGTTGAGTTCCTTGCAAGGCGGTTTCTGCACGTCTTCGCATATACCTGGTACCTAGTTCGCTCTACCCGATTACCTGTTCCGATACCTGGTACCCTACCCGTTTCGCATACCTGGTACCCTCTAGACATTCACTCGTTTCTCCGCATCCGCATACCTCGCATCTCCACATACCTTGCATCTCCGCGCATTCTCGCATCTCCGCATCTCCTTGCATACACAGCCGTTCTGTCTTCAGCGCATCACTTCCTTCTTCACTGTTCCCCTCGCTCATACTTGAGGAACTGCTCTCAGAGCTATCCCCTTGGGTCGACTACTATTCTCGCACCCAGCAGGATCGGTACGCTATCACTATAGCGGACTTCTACGATTTCTCCCACACCGCGGCAATGTTTATCATTGGGATCGATTGAAGGATTTGGCTTGAGTGCGCGATTGACCCAGTCCGCGACAAGAGTCTTTAGCTTCGATGTGTCATCTCCCCGGGCACCATCAGCCCCTTGCCTAAGCTAAACACAGTCTCGAGATCGTGAAGCTGATCATTGACCCGGATAGCGGTAAAACATACCATTTTCAGCATGCGCGTAAAGTCGTTGGGCTCTATGTCTGAGGCTTTCTTCAAAAACCATGGTAGGGTTCTCAATAGGGTGTGGTACCCTGACAGCAGCTGATCTTGGCTACATAAAGAAACCAATGAGTAAACTCGTCATGGCAAACCAAGGGTGAAAACTCACTCGAGAGTAGCATCCTCCTCACTATTGTCATCATACCTTCGATCGTTTTCGGCGACTAGTTCCTCGATACTATCGAACAAAGTGACAATGCGCTTTAGCCCTCGTCCCTGAGCTATATAATAATTTGTTTGCCTGTCAGATGGTGAGTGAAGTCGACTCAATGCATACAAAAATGACGGGGTTCCTACTTTTCCTTGATTGCACGCCCCGACTCGAGAGCCTCTAGCTTTCCCTCAAGTTCGGCGATCTTCCGTCTCTGCTGAGCCTGTGCGAATGTTGTCTCAGGCTGGGATGGTCCCAAAGGTCGGTGTAGGTCGTGGTCGTCGTTCTGCTGGCCGTCGATGCTCATGAGTGATGTGCTGCCAGAGATCGATGTGCTGCCCTCCAACACGAGCGACATCGATGAAGAGGAGCTCGGAGGGGGCAGGAAAACTGTTCAAAAAGTAGACAAGGAGTAAGAAGACGCAAGACGGGGGAATGAAACTTAACCAGTACCCTTTTATACTGGAGTCCCTACTCAATGACCGTTTAAGCAAGTCAGCCAAAATAACAGGAACGTGGACCCGTGCTAGTAGGTTGCATGCTTCAGCTTGCGAGTTGCTTAAAATGGACAGGAAAGCCACGTACTAATCCGGCTCCAACTCTCGCGTAACTTGTTATGTGATTGAATGGGACAGACATTGCCGAAGACCATCTTCCGATGAGCCTGAGTTGCGATGACCGCGAGCTCGAGCAAGAGTCGTTTAGTTGCCTCTATATGAATCAGCTTGTTGATTTTGTCCGTGGAACATTCGAGATCTTGTGCACAAGCGCAACACCGAGGTATTGGTAAGAACATGGTTCCCGGGAGTCGAAAAGAGCGATTGCACGATCTGACTAGCCACCAGATGACAGCAGCCGCAGTACGTGCCGTTGAGCACTAGAAGAATGGAGTTCAGGATATGACAGTGGTAGCAATGTCATGGTGCCGTCCCTGGCTCAATGTGATTTCAAGACAGCGGCGGCCTCTCCCGATCAACCATAATGATAATGACGAAAGTGAAATCATGCGCACCAGCAGGAGCCGTGAAATAAAGCTATACCTGATGGCTCGGATTTCTCAGCCAAAGTCGACGCCGCGGAAATAGTAAATACACTCACTGAATGACGTATTTACCAAGCAACAGGTTATATGCCTTCTGTTTCTACACAATGAGTCCAGGCTCCTGAGAGTCTGGACATCCGAGTCGGTAAAGTCGATGTGCTGGGAAAGAGTTTGATGGTTCTGGGTCACAATGAGGAGTCGAAGGACTCGACCGTTTGAAATTGGCGCCGTCTCGGGCCCACTGGCAGGCTTCGGAGTCAAGACAGATGCAAATCATATCCTTGGCACAGGTGATCTGTGCTATCACTATTATGATGTATCTTCCCAACGACCAAACGGTTACTTACTTGCCTGGTGGTAGTGGTAGTGCATAATGCTAAATGTTTCAAATCATGTGACATTGGCTATCGAAGTTCGACGTTCTGAGTCACAGTACTAGTAGCTAGAATATCACTGTCATAATATATTTCTGGGGGGATGGGAGGGTTAATCTTCGAACAATGCCACATGTATCGTGTCAATAGGGAATTTAAAAAGATGGGAGGTCATCAAACTCGTCCTCAATCTCGGGCACATCGTTTTCATTTACCTCATCTTCATCTTCATGTTCCAATTCCTCGTCACTAAACTCTTCATCGCTCGCTTCCTCTTCATCATCGCATCCTTCATAGCCCTCACCATCACCATCCTCTCCGTAGCCAATATCCGGGTCCACCTCGAGCGTATCAATGTTGCTGTTGCTTGCGGCATCTATGATGCTGGATGCTGACTCGTTTCCGAGAGAGTCTCTAGCTATCCTGCGTAACATTGCTGGGTGTCCCACACCGAAGTGTGTATACCGCATAAACATATCTCGATCCACGAAACTGATTTAGTGGTTAGGAGCAGGACTGCGGTATGAACGGGTATTTACACTCACATACCCACACAATATGCCTCCCAGTCATCTAGCGCTCCATCAGGACGTGCCAATGACTTTCCACCTCGAAGCGAGCTAACGCCACGCCCAGAATCAAAGGCCGGGATTAGATGCGCTCCTCGAATCACCTGCCCCGGGTCAAGAAATCCAAATGCGTCCGTGTCCGACTGATCCACAAAGGCCACCCTTGGAAGACGAGCATATTTCATACCAGATTTATAGTTCCTCAGCGGGGCCAGCCATATAACCCAAAGAACATCAAGGTGATGCTTCACAGGCATGCCTCCGTTGTTTAGCCATGTTTCCATATGATAGATGGCCAACATGCGGGCATACCAATATGGGTGGGTAGGCGTTGTCTCTCCTGAGAGTACCATGACGTCTGCGTGCGTTCTAGGGTTAATTGTATCGTACTCGCGCCTCATGTCATATGTAGTGTAATGAACTTGCATGGTCTGAACAGCATAGATTGTGTCGTTAGGAATGATAACCGAGTTTTGCTCTTCGTCCGTGAACATGTGGTCGCAGTAGCTGATATCGAGCTTGCGCAGTCTATAAAGAACGTGGTCCTTGAGTTTCGGTATAAAGTTCTGATAACCATTCCTGAGTACGGTGCATTGAAAAAATGTGACATTACTGCTACTTTGAGAGCTGGATCATCAGCGTGGTCTCGAAGGAACGTAAACAAAGCGACTGGATTGTTCTGACTGATCGCAATATGGTGATGCTTTCCGGAGGAGGGGGCATCAACTGGAGATAGACTGGTAGATGGGGATGTACCCCCTGCTTCTGCCACACGCCGTAGCACACGACGCCTGCGCTCGTGTTTGGCTAGCTGCGCGGGGGTGTCAAGCTTGCTGGTCAGCGGATAGAAAGCCTTTAGAGCTCGGTGTGCAAGTTCTCCCTGTGCCAAGCTTCAGATCTGTATTCATAGGATGCAGCCGATACGCAAATTTGGGTGGAAAAGGAGTCCGTGGTCCCGAAGAACCTGATAGTTCTAACATAGTCTCCCATGGCGTGAAACTTATAGGTATTTAAATTAAACTTCTTCCCCCTCGCCCTACTTGATTCCAGGAGAGCGTTACCAGTTTCCGAGCGCTTTGCAAACCTTCTTTGACGAGCTGATTTCTCCTTTGGTAGCTCCACCGTGTTGAAAGCAGCACATGTATGAGCCTGAAACTTCCGCAACCTTCGAGAGAGTTTCTTGAAGGTTTCGTCAAGAAAAACCAAGGTGGAGTCGGAGTGTATTCTGAGCTTAGCGAGCGCATGCCACTGCGCAAATTGATATAGAAGAGTCTGGATAGCCGCATCGTCGTCGGGAAGAAACAGTCCTTCGAAAACCGGAATAGCACACTAGTAGGTATGTTAGCGAGCATTCTATTAAATTTTAAAAAAACACGACTGAACCTGTAAAATGTCTTCAAAGTCACGAGCGGCCAGCTTTTTCATCTCGGAGGTGTTGTTGGAAAACTTGCGTATTACCCCGTTACCGAATGTCGGGACTTGACGAAATCTAGGGTAAGAATGAGAAATTAATGATTTGTTAGTAGGTAATAATACTCTATACAAATCAATGATTCTGTATACCTGGCGTCGAGGGTCATAACGATTTGAGCACCCCCAGGAAGGACATAAAGAAGTCTCAGAAGGTGTGTAAATAGACCCTTCCAGGTCCCTAATTCGCACTCGTGCATGATGTCGACAACGAGCATACGAAATGGATCGAGGCCGAGCGCTCCAAGTTTATTGACGAACTGATTCTGGGAACGCTGGTTTGAGCCAATCGTACTCGTGTGGAATCAGTCTCGCTTACCAGAATAGGCACCCACGAGCCTTCTCCGAGGGTGTCTTCAATCTTGGCACTATCTACAGTATTTCCCAATCGATAGATAAACTCGCGAGCTTTGATGACCTTGGCCGTAGCATATACTCGAAGGTTGGTAAGGCGGCTTTTCATATCCCTCACGAGACCAAGACAACCAAACAAGCCTTTCGGTACGAGGTAGCGAGGGCATGGACACAAGCCCATATCCTTTATAGTCGCGATTAGAACCCTGGAGATTCATGAGCCATGTTGTTGTGTACACAATAAAAAATGTACTTCTCCGGATAATCAGCAGAATACGTGAAGATCCGAGGGTATACTCTCCGCATCACTCCATCAGCGCATTTCAGAACAAAACCGTGTTGATACGCGTAAACAAATTCTTCGTCCAGTAATATTTCCCAGCACGCATGAAACAACTCCCTGCGGCAGTGGGTGTGAAGGGAGGCCATGCCCGTTTTTGATACTCGAGGCAGGCTACCAAGGATATCTTTGATTTTATCGGGAAGCTGGTGGGGGAGTTAATGTCCACGGCGATCAATACACATGCAATCAAAGTGCTCACCGACGGGAAGAATCCTACGAGGTGACATGATCCCGATGTTGGTGACGAGCGTATATATTTCGTCAGATTTCCGAAGTACGCATAAAGCGGCCAAGCCTTTGCGGTCCCAAAGTTTGCCAGGTGAGTTGCGTCCGAAAAGAACATTAGACCTGCGACGACCCGTTCCAACGAACACCCAGGCTCCTTCGGTTGCTTGTGAATTCTGTCCTGAGCTTCCAACCAGGCATCTGAGGTGTAAAGTTCGTCGTATATCCGCTCTTCGTGCCCGTCTAGAGGATCCTTCCACAGACGTTTGAAGGGCAAGAGGTGAAATGCCCCTGCTTGAGCATCTGCGAATGCCGCACGTATAAGTTCAATAAGAGGGCGGTAATGAAACCCGGGAACGGTATAAGGCATTGGACTATCCTCCCTTGCCCTCGTTGGAATGTCAACAGTGACGGAGGTCTCGATCCAGTCATCCGGAAAGGTGATTCTCTTCCCGCTCTCATCTTTATCTAATTCTCGCAAGCTTTGCCTCACCGAGAATCCTTGAAGGTGTTCGCGGTCAAAATCATCTGCTAGCATTACATCCTTGACGAGGGACACAACTTTAGATTCCGATACCCGACTGCTACCAGAATTCATCCAGGAGATGAGCCGATAGATCGTCATATTTGCGAAGGGGTACGGAGGAGCAAAGACCTGTGGTGGAGAATCAGTGCCTTGAGCAGCAGTAGGACACGTCCTCGAAAGTAACGAGGATGGAACAAATTTATCCGGCTCGAATGAAGGACGACGAGGGTACAGTCTGCAGAGACCGAATGAGTTGAAGGTGGTCTGAAGTGTATCTGCCAGCGTTAGAAGAACACGTCGAATCCTGGCTCGAGCTGGAAGGGTACCCGAATTTTGAGTCGATACATTGTGATCATCAGTATTATTAGAGATGTTAAGATCCTCCTCGGAGCGCTCGACATCACCATAATGCCTTGGGATTCGTCTCATAGGGCGTGCCCGTTCATCTAAACAAGTAAAGTGATTAGAACGCTATGTCCGCTATTCAAAGACACACGAACCAGAGGTATCTATGTCGACATCCATCTCAACATCGTTGTCGTTTTCTGGGTTGGTGCAGTGCTGCGAGTTGGCGAGACTGGACTTGGATGTATTACCGATGCGAGGGGCAGACCCTCACCTCTGCTCTGCCGGTGACCGGCAAGGAGCAATTGGTTTTGGACGGCCAGTTCTCTGATGTTCAAGTTCACGCGAGTTAAGGATAACCATGGTAGCTAAGAAGGCCACTTACATGTGAAGGCTTCACGAATGGCCGTCGCAGGTTACGGTAGGGAGCCAAATTTGCGGAGACAGCATCTCTGGCGCGTTCCTGTCTCTTCTGGGTTGCAAGCAAGCTAGACGTCTTGTAGGAATGACATGATGCACGATGCCTGTTGAGTCCACGTGCATCCGTCGCCCTCTCCCAAGAGCAACCTGTACCACCGCATGACACCATTAGCCAAAACAAACTTGAAAGGAGGGCGACAATCCAAAGAGATCCTGCAAGGCCCAGACGCATTGCACTTTTGAGTTGCTAGCAACTTGAAGAAGATGCAGCTAGCTTCAGCTGCGAGGCAACGGCAGTCATTCGAGTCTGATGCAACTATGTCATACAGTTCTTCAAAGTTGATGCTAGTAAGCGGCTGCATATAGTACCTACGGTCCAATTTCAATATTAATCAGTGTGGTCATAGAGCTCACTGGGACTTACCTGTTTTGTACTGCCGCATCAACTGTTCCATTGCCCTTCGGCAGTATGTTCCGTACACAATCCGCGACGCGATACCCCAAATTTAATGGTTCCGGTGCTTCCAAATCAACATGAACTACTGCGTTGCACGTATTTCATGGTCTGACTCACCCGGCCATTCCCTCAGTATTGGACCGTGACTGCTGACCCTCCCGCAGTTGGCAGATTCTGGTGATTGCGAAGTAGTCATCAAATGACTTTGGCATGACCTATATCCTTCCGAGTCTTCCTTCAACGTTGTCAACCATGATCGTATTACCAGTAGATGGGTAAGTCAGACCCGCACTTCCAAGGACTTTCGCTTGGCCGAGCCTCAACGTTGCAACCTCAAGGAGTCGTTCAGAATGAATATGTCCTTTCCTGGCGAGGAGTCTTATAAATTAATAGCTGAGTACTGAATATACTTACTCTGACGATAAGGACATATTCTGATGATGATCCGAGTAACCACACTTCTCTCATGCAGGACGAATTCGTCCGCGTTCGGATGTTGCCGACTATTCAATCCTTAGGCCTCCTCCTTTGGTTGAAGTTCTCGCAACCCGATACACCACGAGACAGCATTTGCGATGAGTAGCTCTTCAGAATCAAGAGGTAATTCTAATAAGCCCAGGTTTGTTGTTCCAAATTGTGGCTAAATACTGCACCTCCATTTACTGTATCTTGCAGGTCGTTATCCACACCACCGACATCTATTGGACCTAGTAGCTCCCCTCTCAAGTGTAGCACCCCTCCCATGTGTAGCTCGCCTCCCATGAGTAGCCCTTGCATCCCGTCACGCGCAAAGACTGTTGCCAATAATTCTGCCCTTCACGTTGATGAGTTTAGCACTGCAAATCCAATGCAGAGCTTGGGTAACGGCGGTCATCGCAAGTGCCCCATCACGTATGGCTCAGTTCAAGGTGGCCTCCAATATGAGGATTGCAACCCACCTACAAAGAAATTCAAGCCTCTCCAAACTACGGTGTGTTCAGTGGAATTTTAGACGTCCAGATTTTCATACATATATTCTTAAGTGGAACACTCCTGCGCCCTCACCAGAAGCTACAAACTATCTCAATGAACGCAGGCTCGAACTATCGCGCATCACTCGCCGGGCTATAGCCGCGAGAATGCGATATCAACGCCTCCGCTGCCGCGAACTAGATCTCATAAGAGCTATCCTGGAAGGTGAAGAAGACTTGTCCCAAACAGAGATGAAGGGGATTGACGCTCAAATTGGTGCTATCTGCAACATCCTCGAGGATGCAGGAGTTACGGCGATAGGAAACAAAGGTTGTAGGTTCGACCCCAGTGATATCGGGCCTTGGTGTGAAAGCTCTTCAGATGAGTCGGATAAACCTGGGGCAGCTCCATTGGTATCTGGATCTCTTTGCAGTTCAACCTGTACGTCGGATTTGGAAGAATGACAATTTTTATTATATTTCCTAAGCATGTATGTTTTTTTCAATGTAGTTGTTAGTTTCAAACCTGGAATTTGAGTTTTAATAGGTTTCAACAAGTTGGGTCAACGTTCGCACTCGGCTCAGGCCGAGTCCCCTGGTCCGTGCGCATATTCGTCAATACCGTCCCGCTTGCCCTTCTCAGATTCACATAAGCAAGTGTCGCAATGGGGAAAAGTTTGCTAAGTGTTCAAAGAAACCAATTGTGCAACGTCGTCAGCTATGAGTTGCCATATTTGGTATAATTGCTTCACCCGGTTCAGCCCCTCTTCAAGGTTATGACCACTGTTATAATCCCGTCATCATTCTGCTTGACCGATAAATATTACACTATATCGACCATTCATGTTATGGAGTCCTGGATGCCGCATCAGTAAGTCAATCGAATTGAACGATTGATTTGAAAATCACTATTGAATACAGAAGGCCTGAGCGTTTTCTACCAAATGAAATTTTCGGAGATCCGGGGGAGATCACAGTCTTATCATCGAGTCACAATGAAGGGCAGGTGCGTAAAGGTAATTCTATGCGAGCAACAGCTAGTAATTACCGTCAATAGCGCTTAGGGTTTTACATGTTCATGCCCTAACATCATTCCCCTATAGCCAAGTTTTTGGTAAGTTCGCATGAGGTCCGCTTGACACGCAAATTCCCGGGTCAGACTGGTTGGAAACAGGTCAGCTTCGTTGACCATTCTCATCTTGGACCACTGGCAGTGTCGATGATCTAATAATAAACATTTTTCGTTTACAGTTTACAAGTCAATACTGATATACTGGTATCCCGCTATTTAATTCGCCTCCCTCGAATTCTCCCTTACTCCAAATCCAAGCCCACCATCATGTCGTTTCGTACTTTCCCATACGATTCAAATGATCCCTCCAGTTGCACCAGGCGGCGGTCCGCCGCGCGGCCTCACACCCCAGGATTATTGCATCGCATATTTCCTTACTCACGCAGTACTAGTGGTCGTGACGCATGCTCCGACTCCGCATCATTGGCGTCGACGAGCTTAATGTCGGCTGACACGACCAGTAATATGGGCTCGGGGGACATAGAGGGAAAGCGGTTCAATGAGCACAGTCCAACTGAACAACTCGCCCTCACATGGGCGAAAAGGCGCATCGTTCTCAACTCCGTTACGACCACAGGCTGGCTCCGAAACATCACCCCAGAAGAAAAACAGGTAACGAACGGCTACATCATCGAGCTCGTTAACCAGGCCAACATAAAGTTCGGATGTGGTACGTACTCATTACCATCCCGGATCATGACAGAACTCATTTACAAACACTAGAATTGGAATCGTCACCGAGGGTAATAGAAAGCATTCTAAAGGCCCTCTTGCTCAATCGTCGACAACTCTCGAAAATTTCGGAGTATCTCGCCGATCCCTACGACATCGAACCGCCATCAGAGTTCAACTTGTCGGAACAGGACCACCAAGCTTTCAAGGATGACCGCGAACACGAGTTATTAGACTCAGCCTCACCCTTCACCTATTAAGATAGACCTTGTTCATACACCGGTTCATCACGTGATTTGATGATAGAATACATGGTTTTGGCTCGTTACTCTTTTAAAACTTATAATTAGCTAAATCTGTTCCAACAACTTGTGGGGATGTACTACAATATCAAAGTGGTCTACTCAGAATCCTTATTTTCGGTGAATTGAAGGAGGAGTAGGCTTTTTTTCAGCAAATTCACCCTTGTGACCCATTTGTGACTGATGTGACCGTATCAGTGACTCGAACTAGCGGGGAGATAAACAATTGAAGCGGCCGTTTGATGTTAAAACTTCAATGATTTCGATGTTCGACACAACGTTCAACAGCCGTTTGAGAATCAACAATTAAATTTAACATTAGGTATCAAGTATATGTGCCACTGATCAAGTTAATCCTGCAGTTTCCAGTTCAGACATTATGGTCTCCGGAAGTACACGATGGCCTCGATATCTCCTCGAAGCCCATACTGCCTGCTTCCCATCAAGACCCCTTCGATACGCATCCATGAATCTGAGTGACCGCGTGGAAAATCTGAGCCGCAAGGATCCAGATTAGGAGTGATCGTGAAATCCGGCCAAACAGAGACTTACCGACGAATAGCATCGAGCGGAACAGATTCTAGCGCCGCGAGAACATTGCGTTCGAGATCAGCCTCTTTGGATGACACGGGAAACTCACGATACAGCCGCTTCGAATAACCCCAGCACTGCTCGATGAAGTTCAATTCGCAGTGGAATTTCGGGAAGAATATTGCTCGAAAGCCCCTGGCTTCACATGCAATCTCGAGCAACGACTTGACGTTTACGAAGTCAGGTTCGTTGTACAGCATTCTTCGGCAACAGCAACAATCAACACCCTTCTCGCACTGAAATTTTGGGCATTCAGCTCGGACCTTCGAGACATCAGCGTGGCCTCGTTCATTGAGTATGACAGCCATCCCTTTGAAAACACCTGCAAGCTGATGGCCCTCGGGGTAGTACAATGACTGTGGTGAGCCGTCCGCAAATGTAGCATCGCACATTTTGACCTTTTTCTTCTTTATCTCTCCGCTGGGCTCATGAACTGGCTTCCCATTCTCATCCACGACATTCACCTCTACTCCCCAGTTCGTCGGCCGCCCACTTTCACCCCAGTTACTCCCGTCCCATTCCTTTCCATGCCTGGGGGAAAACTTGGGCATCTTGCGAGCTGACAATGCATCATCTGCACGTTTCAGGTGCGTGGTCGCATTATCGAAGACCATCACGTGTTCTTCATCTGGAAAGTGACGCTGTAGGATATCCATCGCATTTGATGCCTGATTGATAATGTTTTGGGTTGTGAAGTACCCATCTCGAGCTTTGCCAGCCTTGAACAGCACACGAGCTCGTTCTTTGCCGTCTGGTGATTGTAGCCATCCATAGTCAGGGCTGACCATGTCAGCAACCATCAACGAGGCCCCTTCACCCTTGGCGTAAGGTATGGCAGTCTCCGAGTTATGCACCCACCGAATCTTCCGACGGTCATTTGCATAGTAGGTTGACTCGTCGTGGTTCCATATAACGACACGGCGAGTGGTCATTGGTAGTGCCTGATATTCATTCCCCTCCAAGTCTGTCCCATAGATTCGAGTCCGCAAAAGCAGTTCTGCCCAAACGGGTAGGAACACCAACTGTCTGTATGCAACCACATCACTTCGCTCGTGGCCATCAACAAATTGCCCTGTAGGTGTCTTTGACCATCGATATCCGACGTGTTTCATCCAACGCTGTGCCGTTGCGAGGGAGATCGGTTTTTTGAGCTTTAGCTGGGCGAGTACTTCTGGTCTCTTGACGTAGTCTATGATATCCATTGATTTGACATACTTTCCAATTCCCTGCAGATGGAGAAGTAGTTCTCCTTTAAAATCCTCGTCCTCAAGAATGGATGAATTCCAAGTACCGTAGATATTGAGTGGAAGGTCCTCCCAGTCCAGTATGTAAGCTCTCGTCCATTCACGAAGACGGCCTGCTAACCAGGTACCCTTTCCATATGCATTGGCAGTCACCAGTGATGCTGCCTGCCACCTGGAAGCACCAATTGGCTTCGTGTAGTTCCACAAGAACATTCGCATCTTTTCAAGTCGGCTTCGCAACAAAAGATCGAGGTGTGGGTCCTTGTGTCCAATGCCTGATGTTCGGCGTGGTTGAATGAGAAGTTTGAGATCATCCAGTGCAGAGACTGCCTCAACCAGACTTGGGGGAGGAATATATTGCCCAGCCGTGAATGGGGAATGTGCCCAAGGCAAGTTATCTTCCATGATCTCGTTATCCTCCTCCTGCTCTTCTTCACACTCTTCAGCTGCATTCCCTAGTTCAGTACGAGGCTCCTCAACCACAGACCGAACAGTTTCTCTTCCTTTTGAGTGCCAACACAGAGGGGGATATGCGGGGTGGGATCCAGGGAAAGGTGTTGCCTGCAATTGTGGTGAGCTGCGAACAGAAACTACAAGTCACTAAATTATTACATTTTCTTCATGATCGAATTTTTGCCGTTTTTGATGAGTGGCACCAGCAGCAAAGTTTGCTGTTTTCGAAGGCCTCTTTCGTGGCATAGTGAGGTAGATAGACTGTAGTCTGTAGTTCATTTTTTTGCTTCTCATTTCGAGTTAGCGTGTCTGTCACTAATCTAGCGCATCTGTCACGTTAGCAGTGCTCACTTGGGACATTTTGACAATATAATGCCTACTCGTCCCTCAGTTTCTTACAGTAGATCATAAAAATACATGTCCAGCTTGCTACAGACTGTCCGCACATATTGTTGGAACAGATTTTGCTCACACTTTGTGTACAACGAGTTATATGCAGATTGATTGAAATGTCACGCTAGGTCACGTGATGAACTGGTGTATGAACGAGGTCTATCTTACCTTCATGGTCAGGAAGTCACTGATATGTCTGTTTTCATCCTTCTGTTCGCAAACCCCGTGGTGGAAGACGTGCACATATCACACTGGTACGCTAGCAAAAACACGCCACTCCGAGATGAGGACATGAGAAAAGAGATCAATACTACTCCGTCTCAGATGTTAGCAGAATCGGCGGTCTCGGTAAGTTGCCGACTCTAATTCTAGTGTTCATATGTTGATGTATGGTTTACAGGTGAGGTTAGCAATCCGACGCACTGCAAGGGGAAAAAAGTCACCAACAGGCGCCTCCCTCCAATTCAAGACAGATCCATACGCCGATGAGCAGGACGCGGTCAATGAAGCAATATTGGAGGCATTAAAGTCTCCCGTCCATGGGCCTGCGCTGGAAGCACGTTTGGTATATCTTCACCAACGAGGCATGTGAGTAATTCTCGCTACATTGGACCCGAGTGTTATGCTCACACTTTTTCAGGGGTGCTCTCCGTGGCGCAATGGGTCTGGAAGCACCCGCAAATGCGATCAGCAATGGTTTAACGGAGGAAGATTCGCAAATAGTACACGAGGCACGACAATACGCATGGGCCACCGGCCTGCTGTTCCCCCAAGTCAGTCGAGATTTGGTGATGGCGGGGTCACAAGGGCGTCTGATGCCAGACTACTCCAAATCTGTTTACGTTCCTGCTTCCATCGAGGAGCTGATCTTTCCGCGGGCTGATATCGCCCCACCTTCGACTGTGCACCCACAAATGCCAGCAGCAGTCACGGTGCACTTGTCTGAGGCTGTTGTCCCATCTTCTAGCACAGACTTTAGTATGCCAGTGCCGTCCGAGTCGGCGTATGTTGAACTACCGTATAATTTTGGTGATGACTTCTTTGATTTTCCCCAGACATACCCATTAAATGTCGAACCTGATCAGTACCTAAGCTCAGGAGGGTTCATGGGCGGACTCGGAGGGTACTACCATGACATGCCATGATATTACACTAACGTCATATACTAGCTAGTGTTTGGCCGTTTCGTTCGCCCTTTTTCGAAGTTTTGGTACATCAGATATCGCATTTGCTCAATTGTACAGTACGATCTACTTATTCGTTACAGAAAATATATGTCCCTTGCGCATTCTTTGACTCTACCCATGGCCCCGGTCTCCGCCATTTGTCCTTAGCTAGTTCCTGCGCTTCCGCGAGGATAAGTGAGACCAATTAGAGAAAATATAGCGTTGGAGGGGCGTGCCTCGACACTAGGTGCTCTGTGGTGGTGGTGGGACTCTGACTCTACACATGGGAAAGTGCTACACTAAATGACCTGCCAACCGGGTCCGAGACCCCAGAACCCGCATCCTAACTAAGAAGGAGCCCCTGAGAGGACCCTGGAGCCTTGGCACCCTACTCCAGATGCCCCCCACTAAAAATGCGACGCTCCAGGTCGCTGGCTTGCCTCAAGGTGTGATTCTCTCGATGCTACTATCTGCCATCTCCTCATTCTCCATCTCCGACAATAATGTGCCCGTCCGAGGTAGGAATCGTCGTAGACGGCGTGCGTGGTACCATCCTGCTATTGGGAAACCCTCTAATGTCTCCAGCGAGTAGGAATTGGTGCGTCTCGATGTGATTCGTCTTGGTGCGGACCATTTTGGGATGATTTTGCGTGAGGCTTTGAAGTTATTGTCGACGTCACTGGAATATATTTGAACGAGCTGTCCCGGCTGAAACGATACCTCACCTTGTGCTGACGAAAGGATTCTTTTGTCGAACACCGCTTTGCGTTTCAGGGTGTTTGCTACCCCATTGGCAAGGGCGTCTAAGCGCTGCTGGGCCACGTACGCCGAGTGTACATGGACATCTGATGTGCGCAATTGATTTGTCGCTGATTCGATTGACGTGCGAGGAGTATCCACTACGAGACCTAACAATAGTTCTTTGGGTGAAAACTTGAAGGATGGAAGGATACGGCTGTTTAGGTGTTCGATGGCCGTTTCGAAGTGATCTGACCATAGGGCTGGTATTGAGTCTGTGTCGACGTTCGCACAGTTGTCTTCCCCAAGGTGCGGCGCGCACATGTACTTGAGTCTTCCTATTAACAGTTTGTTAGTACCCTCCACTAAGCCATTTACCCACGGCGCATATGCCGCCGTGATATATCGTTTAGTGTCGTGTTCTGTGCACCACGCGGTGACTTCTGCATTGTCGAAGTGTTTGCCGCCGTCCGTCATGAAAGTTTCCGGTGTGCTGAAGTCATGTCGAATTTTCTCGAGCCCAGCGATGGTCGTCTTCGCCGTACCGTGTACCTTTAACTTAAATCCCCAAACAAACTGTGAGTACGTGTCTATGATTAAAAGAATATTGATGAAACCCCCTTTAGCTTTCGGCATGGTCAGATAATCCGCAACGAACAGTTCGAACGGATGTCTTCGCACTATCGGTTCAAGCAGTGAATTCAGTTGAGCTGCCCCGAAATTCTTACATTGACTGCATTCCAGGATCGCGTTAGTGATTGAACGGTCTAATCGAGGGCTGAAGATGTTATCAATGAGTTGAAGTTTGGTCATGTCGCGTCCCCAGTGTCCGTGCGTGGCGTGCTCTCGTCGTGCGAGGTCGGTGGCTTCTTCTTGCGAGACGCATTCCAGCTTGCTGTGTACCCTGGTTGATGAATCGTTAGGTACTCTCCATAACTTTCCTTCCGCCAGAAAGAAGTGCTTGGCTCGGTGTCTGGCCCGTCTCTTGCTTCTAATCGGTTTTTCTGCGTCTAGGTCGCATAAGGCTTCTATAACCTCAAGGAACAAGGGTTCGTTTGCGAAGCGCTGGCGGAGGGTTTCTGTTTGGAGTTCGTCAGAACTTGTTGCGGTGTGCCTTGACGTTACCTCTAGTAAGTCTTGCACAATGCCCCTTGAGGCTTCCCAATCTTCATTCACCGTCCACTCAGCTCCGTCCCCCGCTGTGGTTTCCCTTCCGATAAAGCTTCTGCTGAGTCCATCGGCTGCAGTATTCGTTGTCCCTGGTCGGTGACGGACGTCCACTATGTGGTAGGCCAATATGCTGTCGCGCCATCGAGCATGCGCCATGCTAAGCTTAGAGCTCAGCAGCGTGTCTCTTAACGCCTGGCAGTCGGTTTCGGTCTCTACAGGTGATCCCCAGATAATGTCTGAGAACTGATCTAGAGCGTATTTTAGCGCAGCAAATTCTAGAATGTAAGGAATGTACTTCTCCTCAGTGGTTGACGTTCGTTTTGACGTGAACGCGATAGGGTGGACTGCTGTTACTACCTTTCCGGATGGTAGTATTGAGGTGTGTTTCTGTGCTAGCACAGCGCCAAATCCGTCCTGACAACCGTCAGTAGTCACTATGAAGGGAGTACCATCGAAACGCGGCCCTTTCAGAACGGGTTCTGCCACCAATATCTTCTTAAGTTCCAAGAATGTTTCCGTATGGCGTGGCCCCCAATGATTTTTGAGTTGAGTCGTTCGAAGATGTTGTCGGTACCGGTGTCGCCCTACATGTTGTCCTCCTGGTGGGGTACCCAATCGTCGTACTAGGTCTGTAAGGGGCGCTGCCTTCCTCGCGTAGTCCTTAATTAAACATCTGAAATAGCCGGTCAGTCCTAAGAATTGCATGAGATTGTGGATCGTGTTGGGGGTCTCCCAATTGACGACGGCTGATATTTTCGATAAGTCTGGCTTGATGCCATCCTTCCCAACTCTTGCTCCTGCGAAGACAACTTCCGTCATGAATAACTGAGTTTTCGATGGTGATAACGAAAGGCGCATTGTTCTGATTCGTTCAAAGAACCTGCGTAAACGTGTCAGTTTGTCTTCAAATACATCACCCGCCATGCCCGAATCGTCTACATAGAGCTCGAAGAGTAAGCCTATTAAGTCCTTCAACGCGGTTGCTGCCATATCGCCGAAATTCGTTGGTGCGCCTGTTAATCCGAAGGGCATTCTGCAATAGCAGTCATAGCCTCGTCCTTCCGTGTAAAACGCCAGGTACGGTTGGGTCTCGTCATCCACTGGTATGGCGTAGAATCCTGCCGCGAAGTCGATAACGCTGATCCAGCGATGTCCACTCAGCCGTTGTTGCTTCATTCTGATGTCTCCCTGTGGAACCGGTGGAACCTGGCTGGCTTTGTTGATTTCCGCGAAGTTCTGGCACACTCTCCATTTGGGTGTTGCGTTTCCACCTGGGGTCGTTGTTGAGTTTGCTGGTCTTTCAGGCAAGTCATCCCTCGTAGGTAATCCGTGTGCTGCGCACTGGTCATTGACCCGGTGTAAGAGCTCTTCTAAAGGTAAGCTCCCTGTTCCATGTGCTTTCTGTGCGAGGACGGTAGGGCTGGCTGCTTTGACTTCTTCTGGCGCTATGCGTCGAATTATTCCAGCCTTCTCCAATTCGTTTAATCGCTCGTAGAGAAATTCTCGTTGTGGCGGCGTCAACGGTCTCTGGTTTACCTTAGTTGTGAACTTCGCGTCAGCTGGGAAGGTCAGTTTGAATGTCTTGAAGTCCACTGGGAATACTTCGCTAACGGCCAAGGCAAAAGTGTCAGCAAATTCAGCGCATAGATCACGTACCTTAGTTCGTTGTTCCGGGCTTAAGTCCTCGCCTATCTTGATTTGTCGAAGTACTTCCGCTACTCTTGCGGGATTGAACGGGTCAGTATGCCGGGTAAATACATTCGTTGACGTTGGTACGGGAAAGTCCGGTACTTCTCCTAGGTTGCTGTCTTCTTCGTCGTTAAGTACTGGTCCTACTATGGGGTCTTCTGGTTGGTTCTTTGGCTTGGGATCGCTGGCTGTAAATAATATCGGTGAGCATGGTGCAATGGAGGAATTACTATGTGGGCTCCCGCTTGAGACAAGGCTTCGATGTGCGCATCCAACTGTTTGCTTGGGTAGGACGGTGAAGCTACAAATACAAAGTGTTCGTTAGCTGTTATTGGTATGGTAGATGATGGAGCGGTTAGTTGCGGGTCTGCTGGTACGGTGATAGTGAGGAACACGGGGCTGTCGTTATGTGCTTGAGATTCTTGTTCTTTATGTACGTGTATTATATGGGGTGCTGTTTTGGGTTTGGGTGTCGCCTGCGTATTGGCGATATTATGAATTATATACGGTTGAGGTGCTGCTGGAATGATGATCGTATCAGTGGCGTATTCGTGCGTGGCCTGCAATTGTTCTAATAATGGTTTTCCGATCAGTACGTTCCAGATTCCACCGCTATCGAAAACTTCGAATGACGTTTGAACCTTCGATTTGTTCCATTGGAGTGTTCCGGTCCATATCCCGTGTGATGGTACCTCGGTTCCATTCGCCATTCTAAGTATGCGTATCGATCGTGTGAGCTTCTCGAGGTTCTGTGATGCATTCTGGAATGTTTTGAGGTCGATTACGTTTACCATTGCTCCATCGTCTACATTTGCTTGAAAGGTCGATGTTGACGTGCCTGGCCCGTGTAGGATGATTCGCGTGATGAATGGTGTGCTTTCTGTCTTGGGGCTGGGTTCGGTATGTTCTGAAACGTTGTAGAGATCGACTACGGTTTGTTCATTCGCACTTGTATAACAGTCAGAAGGTGGGTTTGATTCAACGGTAGATACAACACTTAGCATGGATATGGAGCTATCGACGGGAATACTCTCAACTATTACGTCAGATATAACATTTGATGACTCTGATGTCTTGGCAACTTCCAAGGATTCAAGTGATTCGTCGTGGGGACAGGTACTGGCAGGGAATTCTGAAGGACTAGGTGCGGAAATGAAACTGAAGTCGGAATCTGAGAACGGTAGCTCGAGGTGAAATGAATTTGAGTCTGAAGTTGTGCGTGATGACGCCCCATCCTCATCAGCGGGGTGTGACGAATTGAGTTCTATAGTGGGGATCACGAAGTCATCGTTCATTTCTTCATTGCTTGTTACCTCTTGATTCTGGGATATTGGCGTATTAAGAACCGAAGTGTTGAATTGGGATGTGAAGGCTGAGAATGGTGCTGATGATGGGAGGCTGCATGCGATATCGGTGAGATTGGGGGACGGGCAGGGGTCTCCAACGTTTGGGTCTGGTTCTTCTTCCCCTAGTGTTGGTGTTTCTGCCTTCGGGACCGCAGGTAGGTCCCCTACTGCTGCGGTCCGTAATCGTTTCCCGCGACATTGTATGCCTCGTATGGGTCTGGATAGTATGAGTACTGAGGGTATGCTACTGGTGGTGCTGCGTAATGTGTGCTCATGGGTGGACCTGCCGTTGGGGCTACGAACTGGATGCTTGTGGCCGGACCTGGCGTGCTCGTCGATGCCAACGTCCTGGAGACTAACCTCGACACTGTCTCTCGCCATTTGGTTTCCTGGGGAGGTAGCGGTTGGTTGGGGCAGTCATACAACTGATGAGGTGGTGTTGTTGCCATTCCGCAGTTGAAGCATTCTCGAGATCCAATGGGTGCTGTCCCGGGTTTCAACGGGTAAGGTTTTTGGGAGCTGGGTATGGTCTCTGCACCGTTCTGTGCGTGCCAGTCTTGGACCTGTTGGGTATAAGCTTGTCTACCCGCCTCCGAATCTACGTGGTGTGGGATTGTCGCATATTGAGCTGCGAGTCGTGACCTTTCTGCTGGTGAACCGCCCCGATTACGGGTTGGTGTTTGCGGGTAGCCACGGTAGCCGTAGAATAGGTTGCCTCTTGTCATGGGAGCTGCTGGTGCAAACGGGTTGGTTGCTTGTGGGGTCTGTGGGACTTGGGGAGGAGCTGCGTTTTGGAATATGGGAGGAGGCGCTGCTGGCTGAGGTTGACCAGTTGTCATCGCCTGTGTGCTGTAGCGATATCCTTGCCTATATGCTGGCGACGAGGTGTATGGTGCTTGGCTTGGTTGGGAGCGCAATGGTGATGTTGTTTTCCTCGCGCTGCCTGCCTGACTTTGCAGTCTGTCCACGTCTTCTCTCAGTTTGCGCTCCGTCACAAGTCGCTGCTTTGCCTTCACCAGTTGTGATGCCGATACCTTTGCGACGTCCGTTTCGAAGTCTGTCCAGGTGGTGTAGTTATCCAACAAGAAATCCCTCAATACTTCCGGCGTGTTTTCCAATACGACGTCCAGTAGGTGGCATTGAGTGTCGTTGAATCCCTGCGCCATTCTCAATACCTTCTTTGCCCACTTGACATGTCCCCACTCCCTTCCTCGATCTTCCTCTATCATTATTCCTATTTCTTCTTCTTTCAATGTTACCGCCCTAATGCGATCCTTCTTCTGGGCGACCGTAAGTGTTACTTGTGCTGGCTGCGGCCAGCGAGTTTTGAACGCTGCGAGAAAAGTCGCCCAAGTCGCCTTGTCTGTTGCAGTTAAGCTTGCGAACCAGCTTTCCGCGGGGCTTGCAGCTGCGCACTGCAATTCGAAACGAGCAATCTTCTCGCCATCCGAATATGAGGATGGGAATGAGAGTTGGTATTTGCGGATCCAGTCGGTAGGCTCTTCACCCTTTTCATAGTCACCGTAGAAACTGGGCTGAGGAGTAATGGTGGTAGAGTTAGTGGACATGTTTGGGGCGGGGGCTGTGGGTGCTGGTACGAATTTGGGTGGAGCTGGGATAGGTGCAAGCGGGGTCGGATCGTGCGGAACTGGTGGTTGGGGGTTCTTTGATGATGCGATGCGTCGCTGTATAAATCTTAGATTAGTGCGTGCGACAATAGGATTGGCTTCTTGGGGTGACAATATGTTCAGGTTGTCGTCGAATTCGGGTCTTCTCGACGGGGGGGACAATTGGCTGTCTGATACCACGCGCCTTATCGTTGGCGTGTTGGTTTCGGAAATGTTCCGAAAACGACAGAGGTCGTCAAGAGTGATTGCCGTGATGCTCGTCCACTCTAGTCACCAGGTGGAGGGGCGTGCCTCGACACTAGGTGCTCTGTGGTGGTGGTGGGACTCTGACTCTACACATGGGAAAGTGCTACACTAAATGACCTGCCAACCGGGTCCGAGACCCCAGAACCCGCATCCTAACTAAGAAGGAGCCCCTGAGAGGACCCTGGAGCCTTGGCACCCTACTCCAGCGTCCTTCAAAAATTAACTACGGTGTATGCACGTATGTCCCCTCTGTATGGAACTGTATGTTCCTGGAGCGTGGAGTACGTACCTATTAATATTATTCTAATGAGTCATGGTCAACAAAGTACCGTGGGAAGGGTAACCAGTCAGCTGATCCTGCATCTTATTTGTTCGAGTTTTGTTCCCATGCTACGCCTCATCCATAAGAGCTACCAGTATCGATGTGCACACGCACTGCATCCTAGTCCGCGTCTGCCATGTCGATACAAAGCCCATCCTCGCAATGTCAAAGTTGAAGATGGCCTTCGAAAACTATCATGATTGCCATGATCAGTGCAATCGCTGTGAGTCCTTGTCATACTTCTAAAGGCAATCTGTAATCACCTCGACGGCGCCTAGGCTATAGTATAGCTCCTTACACGCCCATGCCTTAACCAAAGATTTAGGAAATATAGTAGACAACGTTCTTCTATAATAAGCCAGGACTGTTTAAAACCATGAGGAGTCAAGATTGTCGTGTCCGAGTCTTGGGCCAGTGTTAATGATATGACCAGGGCACGCTGGATCCCGCAGTCTGTTAGACGCAGGATCACATGTCATGGCCAGTCTGAGGTCAGGAGGCTTTTCAAAGAAGTCTACTATGTGCTGCCAGAATAACATAAAAGTAATAGAAAGGTCATGCCCCTTCATATCAACGACTGGAGTAAGCCACATTTATTCCTGTGTGCATTCGCTAACAGATTCTACTACCTGCAGCAACTCACTTGGCAAACTTTGGGACTGCAAAGGCTTGGCCGCTTTATGCGTACTTCGGAAATCTGACGAAATATACACGCTCGTCACCAACATCGTGGATCATGTCACCTCGTAGGATTCTTACCGTCAGTGAGCACTTTGATTGCATGTTTATTGATCGCCGTGGGCATTAACTCCCCCACCAGCTTCCCGATAAAATCAAAGATATCCTTGGTAGCCTGCCTCGAGTATCAAAAACGGGCATGGCCTCCCTTCACACCCACTGCCGCAGGGAGTTGTTTCATGCGTGCTGGGAAATATTACTGGACGAAGAATTTGTTTACGCGTATCAACACGGTTTTGTTCTGAAATGCGCTGATGGAGTGATGCGGAGAGTATACCCTCGGATCTTCACGTATTCTGCTGATTATCCGGAGAAGTACGTTTTTTATTGCGTACACCACCACTTCGCAGACAGTCACCAATGGGGAGCACACCTTCGGAGGGACTGACGTTACCAAGTACACGGCGCCATTGCATATACGTACATTGCTTTGGCTCGGAGATCAATCCGTACTCACAGTAATTGTTTTGTTTCAGTCCTCTCACCTCCAACTACCCTGCATCCTACTACTGGGGTATCAACGAGAGCATCGCCTATGAGGTTAGCAATCCGACGCACTACAAGGGGAAAAAAGTCACTAACAAGCGCCTCCCTCCAATTCAAGACAAATCCATATCACCGATGAGTAGGACGTAGTCAATGAGGCAATATTGAAGGCATTGGAGTCTCCCATCAATGGGCCTAAGCTGGAAGCACATTTGCTATATCTTCACCAACGAGGCATGTGAGTAATTCTCGCTACATTGCATGAGGTCCGCTTGACGCGCAAATTCCCGGGTCAGACTGGTTGGAAACAGCTCAGCTTCGTCGACCATTCTCGGGAAAAGTTTGCTAAGTGTTCGAAGAAACCAATTGTGCAACGTCGTCAGCTGTGAGTTGCCATATTTGATATAATTGCTTCACCCGGTTCAGCCCCTCTTCAAGGTTAAGACCACTATTATAACCCCGTCATCATTCTGCTTGACCGATAAATGTTGCACTATATCGACCATTCACGTTATAGAGTCCTGGCTGCCGCATCAGTAAGTCAATTGAATTGAACGATTGATTTGAAAATCACTATTGAATACAGAAGGCCCTGAGCGTTTTCTACCAAACGAAATTTTCGGAGATCCGGGGGAGATCACAGGGGAGATCATAGTCTTATCATCGACTCAACTGATCCCTCGAGTTGCACCAGGCGGCGGTCAGCCGCGCGGCCTCATACCCCAGGTTTATCGCACCGCATATCTCCTTACGCACGCAGTACCAGTGGTGCTCATGACACGTACTCCGACTCTGCATCGTTGGCGTCGACGAGCTTGATATCGGCTGACACGACCAGTAGTATGGGCCTGGGGGACGAATGATAGCCACCTCACGACTCCATTATGCTTCACTTCTAGAAGATGTCAAAAATCTGTGGACTTGGTCAGGAACACGCTGACTCCTGACTCCTGCTCCAGAGTCCGCCGTTTCACTGATCTGAACAGAAGGGACACGAATATAATACGGAAGATTCTGGAGGGATCAGGAATCAACATGGGTGCAGCGCACTCCACTGTTGTTATCAAGACTCCGCTTGATGTACCAGACATCTCATCACTCCTTGCTGTTGCCGAAGGTTCAGCATGCGTGTCTGTAGATCACGCCGAACCAAGAACACTGTCATCCCAAGTTGCCCACCCTGCAGATAACGAAACGACGGTCTTTGGGCGCACCTCCATCGTGCACCCGGTGGCTGTGTTCGCTCGGTAAATCACATAATCATGCCCTTACTCGTTAACCTTTGACAGAAAATATTACGGTCCGGGCAAGTCAATAGCTATGGGTAGATCTTCCCGCGCTCTGAAGTAAGTGATCAAATCCAACGAAATCCAATGAAACGCTCGACAATGTGCTGGCGAACACGCGGACCCATCGACTACTCGGCCAGTTCGACATGGGATCGTTCTCTCTCGATCTCGCATACAGTGCATACGACCAACCTGAATTCCGCGCTCCCTCAACAAGGAGACTCACAAGTGACACAGCAAGAGATTGGACCATCTTCCCTATCGCCATCTACTCTCAACGTGAGTGATCATTTGACTTCACGCCGTGCTTTACTCACAGAAGTCGCAGGTCGATGCTACAGGGTCTGCGGGTTATGGTATTACTAAGGAGACACGAGAGGATCCTTACGATCAGTTCTTCAAGGTATGATTTGTATTTTCTCACGCAAAATCACACAAAATGACATCTAATAATATATACTCATAGTGTTCGCAGCCATCTCTAGCAGCACCTTCTGACCTCCATTCAGTCTCTTATTCGTCGTTTCCGGAATGTTACCTTTCGACGCCGGGTAGACACTGAGGCCGTTCATCAGCCTGAACGGCCTGCAGCGGCCGCTACCTTGTCACCGATCAATACAGCAACCCCCTCAGTCAAACTCAACAGCTGGGGAGGATCACACCCTCTGGGAGCAGGCTACTGCATGCTCGGGGGAAGGCTACTAGATCCACTAAAACGGATCCAGTGGTGAAACACATCAGAGGCAGGTTGAGGTATATGCAATCCTGTGGATTCCAGGTGAGTAATACTACTTTAAATTCGATAGCGCCTGTTCAACGCCTGTTCTTATCACAGGGCAGAGATATGTTGCAGCGCCGCCGAAACAGAAGATGTGCTCATCGGTCACAGTAGGATCGGACTCGAGCATCCAAGGTTCATGCAACAAGTTCCTTGAAAAAGTATGTTTCCCCTGCGGACGCTACAAGGATGAATGAGTACGGGTACTACCTACATATTCAATTTTAGTCTCTTGTCTATGCTTGCCCCACTCGTGTGTATAATATTTTCAAGTTTAAAATTTTTCAATCCTCCGTCCTTGTCAACCGCCCATAGAGTCATTATGTAAGCATCATTAGCGCTGTGCCCAAGGTCTTTGGGTTTTGCTACTAGTGGTGCTTTGCTCATCATTTGACTTGTTATTGGCAGCTCTTTCTTCTTCACTGACCACCACGATGAGCTCAACGATGGACTCAACTTCGGACCCGCTCTTGGCTCTATGACATGTGATCAAAAAAAAACACAGTCAAGTTTCATTTAAACACCACTAAACGATTGTTAGGTTGTGGTCCGACACTGGTGATTTCTTCCAACTACCCCCGTCACAAAGGGTACTAGTCAGGTCAAATTTGCTTTTGAATCTCAGTTCTGGAGCCAGACTATCAAGCGCACGTTCAATCCTACTAAAGTTTTCAGGCGAAAAGATCAGGGTAAGGAGGATATCTGTAATACTGCCTATATGCTGAGCGTTCTTCAGAATTTGTTGATATGCTCAATGAAATTCGTTATGGGCGGCTTTCGCAAGAATCTATCGCCCGGTCCAAGTCTTTGTCACGACCCATTGACTACGATGATGGTCTGGGAGTAAACGAGCTGTCAGTCCTCTGCTCAACCCAATGGTCGCATTAATTGATTCAATGCAGGTTCCCTCGTCGAGAGGACGTGGATGGATCAAACAGTGGCCGCATGTCTCATCTTCAAATTGAGTGAAGAGAGTACGAGTTCTCGGACAGGCGGGACAATTGCTGATCAAGGTCAACGGGAGAATATGCTTGCCAATTTTCATGGTGCCGAAGAAGCTTGTCCTCCGTGTTGGTGCCCAGGTCATGTTGATCAAAAATGTGGACGAAATGCGTCAATGGCAGCGGGAGTGTCATTCATCAGACGAATTCTTTTTCACCATGTCTTCTCTTAATGATACATTCTCCTTCATCCACAAGCAGCCTCACAGGCGACGTGTTGACAGCGATGCCTCGAGCTTTTACTTCCGTGCTCCAGCGCACTCCCAGTTACACCCATACAATCGTGTTACTACTCATCGTCGCCACTCATCATCAGCCTCCGTCGCATCGTTATGTCCACCAATCACCTTGTTCAACCGCAACAGCTATGGACGCCGCCGCTGCAGCGACTCGAGCAGTAGCATGAGTAGCGTTTTGAAATTGTACGCTTGTGGCGCGCGTGCTTCGTGGGCTAGGCATCGCTCCGAGTTTTCCGCTGATTCCATGCTCAGTGACGACTTCTTGGGGGTTCATCTTGGGAGACCAGGGCTGGGAGACAAGATGCTCGACTCTGCATTGGATCGTGGCATGCCGCTTGCTGCCATTTCTGCGTCATCGCCTGAAAGCCCTGCCGGGAGCGCCCGAAGCGAGCAGTTCCGGAGTGATCAATACGTGAATCGCATGTCCTATGATTCGATCATGGGCATGGACCAGGAGCCTCAGCTCTCGTTCTTTGAGAAGACTGGCCACAAGACATCGGTTTCTTCGTCTGACTCTTCGTTCTTTGGCGCGGACTCCTCGCATGCGCCGCCTCAATTCAGATGGTTATCAAGCTATAGCATTGCCAGTGTTCACAGTCCGCAGAAAGAAGATGACACCATGATCAGCGTAAGTTATTGGGGTCATATTTGTGAATTGGTTGTTTAATTTTCCTCTTGCAGATGCTTGGTGGTGGCTACGTTCGACGCCGCTCCGTAGGATCCACGATCGAAACTTCGCCTTGTCGCCAAGATGGGCAAGATTATACGCTTTGCCGACCCAGCAGTTGTACGGAAGCGATTATGATGATGTCGATGGCAACGGTAATGCAGGAAATCCAAAGTCAGAAAGGAAAAAAAACAGAGGGCGCAGGGAAGCTCTAATTATACCTGAAAACTGGAAAGTCGAGTTACCTAGCGGAGAGATACAAGTGTCGAGGACACAGGTACAGCGTTTACTTATCTGATTGTGTCCCCGCAGCTCACTCTTGGTTATAGCTGCCCTTGATATTAGCTTGGGCAATGTCCATCCACAAATTGCAAGGGCAAACACTCAAGAGAGTCAAGGTAGATCTTGGCAGAGTGTTCGAAAAGGGTTCGTTCTGGTAGCCGATTCATGCCCTCCCAGCCGAACTGACCACTCCCATCCAGGACAAGCATATGTCGCACTATCTCGAGCAACATCCTTGGAAGGTTTGCAAGTTATGAACTTCGATCCCAAGAAGGCGTGAGGGTCTCGTTCTTTCCACATATGACGGTGCTCCCACAACATCAGAGATGGAAGATACTAGGAAGCGCATCATTTCCTGCTTTGAGTCAGTCTTCCCAAGGTCGTTGAGTGGAGCAAAACGCTCGAGACCATTTCTGCGGACTGTTTCATTGGCATTGATTCTCTTGTACCATTATTGATGCTTTTATTTCACCAACACGTGCTTGGAGATGGACCACCAGAAGCCTACCTTAAGGATGTATATATAGTTATGCTCAATCAGTGCACTCATCGGATTTGTACTCGACAGTTACCAGACTCGCCTAACCAGACTTCTACCTTGGTGCAGCCGCGATACTCCTCATTATCCCAAAATGCGCAGCGCATGCTGCAGATGCCACCACCACTTCCTCAAAGCGACCTTATGAATCAACAAGATGTCGAAGTCGTAAAACAGATCAAGCAGAACGAGGTTGAACTGCGACAGGAACACTGTTCTACGAGGAACGAAACCAGGCGTAAGTCCGAATCCCGCTAACCTGCAGCTGCAGGCTAAGTGTGCAAGTAAGTATAATGTATAGACAATGTTTTTGAACCATTTTATATGATACCATAAGCTGTTACAGTAGGATGTGAGCCGCGATTGTTGTAACGAATTCGGCTGTTGCCAGTGCACATACGCACTGAGACTAGCTGGCGGGCTCTCTGGATCTCGTAACCTTTTACTGGGGTTGAAACGTTGAACAGCTAGGTTACCCATCTGAATGACCATGTCAGATCTGTTGCTATCCAAATAAAATCTTCTTGCGCACTGTTTTCATAGCCTTGAACAACACTACCGCGGCGTGCTTACTATTCAATCTCCTAGAACTATCAATCAGATAGTCATAAAAAGCAAAAACAATCAGACGTGCAACCAGCATCACCCATGTTATGAAGTCTCATGGTATTCTAAGTTTGTCGACAAGCGCCTCGTCACTTCCCATGAGAAGGTGTTAAATATCATTGTAATCTAACACGTAAAAAAGGCAAAATGAGAATGCACAAAATAATTGGCTGAAGTATTCTACCACCCTCATTGGCTGCACTGGTGGAATGTCACCGCTTTTTTTGCTAAGTTCCATGGTATTTTAGATTTGTCATCAAGTGCCAAAGGCATTCCCCATGAAAAGGTCATAAATAACATTATAATTCAGCACACACTAACGCAAAATGAGAATGCACGAAATATTTTAGATCAGTATACTACCACCCCTCACCGGTTACAGAGGAGGAATGCCACAACATTGTCATGAACTGCTCATGTTACACTAGATTTGCGAGCATTGATGGGTATAAAAGCCAATATTTAGCGGGAGCAGAATTAAATCATTTTATAGTTCCCACGGTTACAATATCAAGGGCTCAGCAGTTCACTGATGTCACTGGTTGCACAAGTGGAAATGTCTACACATGGGACATCCACGCCATCCTCAAGGCCTTGAAAACCTTCTCCTGCCCATTTCTGATGTAAATCCCATGGTTCTGTGGTACCAACTATACTAATCTCCCGCTTGCAGGCCCCAGCTCCAATATTGTTGATGACCGTATGTGACGTGTTTCTCTTTCATCTTTCAACAATTTTCAAAGATATTCTAGAGAGATGCTACACGACGTCCAGCTATCCATGCCCGATGAATTCCGCCAGGATTTTTTGATGGCGCCCAGGTGAGTCATCTGCTTTGTTGACCAGTTCTTGTTTCGATCTTTGTACTTTCAGTCCTCCGCAATGCACGGTACCCATCATCATTCCTCCACATACGACTCACATTTCAAACGCTTTTTATGGTTCTTCTGCCACTCTCCCTCCAAGAATGATGGAGCAACCGAACTCCAGCAACGCCTAAGACGAACCATCTTCTCTCATCATGGCCCTCGTATTGTCGATGTTCCTGCAGTACAGGACAGAAAGGTAAGTATACATTCCAGTGTGTTTCCCATCACTGTTGTTCAATGACTTATCTGCAGCCACTGGCTGTTGCTCCACGACTGCGGCCGCAGCAGCAAAGCCATTCGCACGGTCAAACCCAGGCGTCGTCATCACAAACTCAGCACGCGACCACCTTGACCTCCACGACACCTCCTGCTCCAGGTACCAGTGGTACTACCACAGCTGGTGCAGCACCTGCGCCGTCACCACACATCCCATGGTGGGCTCGTCTCGTACTGTTTCTCTGTTGTGCATCTCCTCTGCACGCCAATGGTCATTAATACACTGCAGCATCGTCACGTCTTTTGCTTCTTCATCATTCTTGTTTCCTCGTCGTGCTACTCGTGCGATGCATTAAAATCAATAACCACGAAAGCCCGGGACCAGCCCAGGCTCCTCCATCTATCGATAGACATCTGCAGTACTATGTATGTATCGGCGAGCTGGTTTGAACAATGCTTAACGTACACCAACCCTTTCCTCGTTCTCGTTGTGTCAGAACTTCGGAGCGATGTTTTAAACATCAGCAATCTGTTCCAGATGTTTCGTCGGTGGTAAAGCTCGAAGCTTCCGCAACAATGCACCCAACTTATAGCGATGATACCGCGAACCGATACGTTTCAAAAATCATTGGTTTGCCGTCTCCCATTCGCACTGCTCCGTTCTTGTTCCCATGCCCACCTGCTGCTTCGCACACCAGTCTTCCACCTTGATTCCGCCCCTTCATTAATCCCGCCCCTTCATGTACAATCTATGGTGAGCATTCAGTCCTTGCCCAATTTTTTCGCTAAGCAAGCCTATAGAGAACCAGCTATGTACTATCCGCTAGCTTGCAAGGGCTCTGATACCACAGGACTTCTCAATGTCCAGCAGTAGACACTGCCTTATCCTCCCAAAAAAAAACTTTGTCTCTGACGCTACCGAAGTCGTTATCTCATCACCCAACGATCGACCATCTGATCGAGGCTTCACGCGCTGTGTCATCAACCATACTGCGTCGATGTGAAAATAGAGGCACGACTCACTGCCACACTACCACCAGCATACAAAAAATATCTACGACGTCGGTTAGTTAAATCCACAAGACACAAGCTACTCGTACTCACACAATAGGCCCCATCAGCGCAGCCTGCACACGTGCTACTACTAATGCAGAGGTAAGGACAACTCTCACTGCCCTGACTGCCCTGACTGACAGCGTCACTGGCAGATACTGATGCTGTCAAAGCAGCAGCAGCAGCGAGAAAAAAGGAGAAACGCATTGTTTATGAGGATGTGATATTGGTATGGGGTCAAATCAATCTGAAGTGGACAGTAGGAAGACGCCTTCCTTGCTTTTATGTGCTGAATATAGCCACCACGGCGATATAGGATGAACCTGTCCGCCTAAAATCCCACTTCGAACAGATGATATCCGCAATTCCAGCGGATTGCCACCTTGTGAAGCAAGCTCTATTGGTAATTCAGTATAGAGCGAGATGCCGCCTTGCGCAACAATGTCGGTGCTAGCATATTGCTACCTACTGAAATCTACCTTGCGAAGCGAGGGCTATTGGCAATTCATCAAGTTGGCGTGGAACAAAATATCACCCTAGGGGGCAAGGTCAATGCTAGCTCGCATCAAAGACTGGTCAGCCAAGTTCAGCTTGTTGCTTTGGGGAGGGACTGCCTCATTGAATGCAATAAACCTACATGACGTAGCAGCCGTCGCACATCTATGTCATCGTGAACATATCGTGTTCGTCAGTACCAGATATTTTGGGGTGACTGGTATAACGGGTATGACGTACATCAGTTCGTGAGGTCCGGAATTACCCTTGCCGAAATTGCCCCGCTGAAGACGAACAAGAAAAGGAGCGCATCGAGTTGGCATAAGGTCGTTGTGTATGACCGACGAAGAGAGGAAGACCCGACAGTGCGAATTGATATGACTACGGACCGTGGTATACCAGGCAAATCCCTGATAACGATAACCGCCAGCGCATCGCCAATACATTCCTCATTCAATTCTCCTGTATCCATGTTCGATTCGGTGCCGGAAAATACGAGCATTTGAACAGCCCCGAAGTTTCCAAGGTATTGGCGCAGCCACCGCCACTTCGTCAAGATCGAAGAAAACCCTCGTAGATATGATGAAGACTAGAATGCTACCACCATAGGACGCGGTAAGGCATAGTAGTCGATGGATAAGGTCTGAGGTGTACATCATTTGTTAGACTTGCATCTGCAGCTGCTCAATGTTATCCATCGGAAGGAGGCACCGAAGGTACGACAATGGGAGGGGGAACAGGAAACAGGCTGACACCTGTGGCGTCTGGGACATACTCTCGATTGACTAAAGCTTCAGATCGTGGGTGACAACGAGCAACTTATTGATTCCGAGGAAACAAAATCGATTCGGTTGTTAGATGGGCTGAGTATCATGTCGCTGAGGACGCTCTGAATTCAGAATTAACTGTCAAGTCTTACAATTACTTTGGGTCAAAGCTCACACTGGATGTCGTCGAGTTTTGCCAGTCCCAAATTTGGAGCTGCCGCATGTACCGGGGCGAGGCAGTCTTCCACCATTAGCTGTAATCCATAAGACGCGCTGCAAAGCAATATGCCTCCCACAACCTTTGAGGTTCGCCCATGTTGTGTGGCTGTCGTTGTATCCGGTCGGCCCGATGCAAGGAGTCGGATTCCGTCATCCAACCTTCAAGAACATCACTAGTTGAAGACGCATCCGAGTCATATAAGTTGTGTAGAAGGGGTCGCGGGAACTTCCGAAGAGCCTCTGCTCGGAGTCTGCGGACTTCATATTAATAGTTTTCAATTCAATTCAATTTAGGAATAGCAACGCAAGCCACAAACGCTTCAACTTGAACTTACTAGTCACTAGCAGGGTGCTTGTCGTCTGGCAGCACTATTGATATCACACTCGGAGGCCTAAGGGCCGTGGCTAGAGGCAAGCTCGTTTTCGGTCTGCACCATTAATCCAACACTGTCGCCAAAATATCGACTGCAGTATGATATGCGAGCACAAAACAAGCCAGACATTTCGAACAGACTCCCCCGGATCCCCTATCACGATGGCGTCATATGGCACTGCAGTTGCGCTGAACATCATGTGTGCGAGCTTTTGGCGCGCGCATTTATTAGAAGCCCTGCGTGATGGACTTCTATCTCCATCGCTGATTTTTTCGGTATACGCCGTACAAGACTGACCCATCCGGACATCTTGGACGGACATGGTTGTTATTGGTGGACGCTTTCCCAACGTAATGATCTACTGTTGCACGTTGCGCTCCGAAGGCAGGCACGCAAAGTTTTTTTTGTTACCGCTTACCTGCGGCTCCATGGACAAACAGAAGCATGATCTCGAAATGTGTTCAACCGATATGAAAATCGTTATATACATGAAGAACTCTGGCCCATCATGGTATACTCACCTCCAAATCCTCCTCCATGTCAGTTGGCCATCCAGACGCTCCGTCGATCCCACACACAGAGTCAAAGGAGCATGTAGACTACGAAGAACTCGATTTCGAGACAGAATTCGGAGGTCTGGAGGCACGAAACAAGCTGGAGCGCAGACTCTTATGGAAACTTGACTTGCGCATGTCAATCCTGGTTGTGATATACATCCTCAATTTTGTGAGTGATCTCGCATCAAGGCGTTTGGTTTATATCTCATTCTTGTACTAGATCGATAGAACTAATGTTAGGTACGCCGCCATTGTCATGCTTTTATGATACACCGTTAATAACGCACAAAGTACGGTGCGCTCAGGGCTCACCACCGACCTTCATCTCGAAGGTCAACAATATGCAACGCTCCTGTCTATTCTCCTTGTCGGATATATCATCGTGCAGGTCCCCTCCAACATGTTTCTCAATTATATTGGCAAGCCATCGCTATATCTGCCTGCTTGTATGGTAATCTGGGGAGTCATATCGGCTCTGACTGGGATTACTACAAAGTATGACAGAATATTGATGTCTGACCGACTACTGACTAACAATCCTCATCATAGCTTTACCGGAGTGCTTCTAACACGATTCTTTCTTGGCTTCGTAGAATCGGCATTTTTCCCCGGTGCTGTATTCTTGATTTCGAAGTGGTTTGTGGACTATTGATGTTATCGGCAGACGGCCTCACATTCAATTTTCAGGTACAAGAGAAACGAGATAGGTCTCAGATTGACTATCCTCTATTGGTAAGAGCGCCACTACGCTGGCGGACGGATATATCCCTTAAAATCATCATTATAGCGGAAACGTCATTAGCAATGCCTTCGGAGCTCTCATTGCATCAGGCATTCTTGCTGGCATGAACGGCGTCCGAGGAAAAGCCGCATGGAGGTAATTCAATCAAGCTGATTTGTCGAAGGACTTCGTTGAATTTTATTCCTAAGGTGGCTTTTCTTCATCGAAGGATCTCTGACCGTCTCCGTTGCCATAGTTGCTGTCTTTATTTTGCCGGACTTTCCGACAACGACAAAGTGGCTTTCTGCTGACGAGCGTCGGCTTGCATTGAAGCGTATGGAGGAGGATGCTGGCGTCGGGGACCAGTCAGAAACTGAGGCCGGTGGCCGTGGTCACGGCTTTTACCTAGCCATCACCGACTGGAAGGTGTGGTGGTTCGCAGTGCTATCGAATGCTCAGGTGATAGCATTGACTTTCACCGCCTACTTCCCCACTCTTAGTGCGACACTTGGGTACAATCCAACGGTGTCGCTGCTCCTTGTTGCGCCTCCCTTCCTGTTTGCGGCCATTGTCGCATTCACACTGTCCAGGTATGTCTCTATGTAAAACAGTCTAGGTGTTGATATGATATGAAGAACTCCTCAGGCACTCTGATCGAGTGCAGGAACGGTTCTATCACATGAGCGTATCAAACACCGTTGGTATAGTTGGGTTCATTATTGCGATGTCCACCATGAACACTGCTGCCCGATACGTGTCTCTGTAGGCTTATGATTTTTTAATCTTGGACGTAACACTGATGCTTTGCCGTCAACAGTTTCCTCATGGCGCAATCCTATGCAGCGATTATGTTGCTACTCGCGTGGATTAGTAACTCATTTGCTCGACCGCCGTCAAAGCGTGCGGTATGTTTTGCGCTCATCAATGCACTTCAGCAACTCGGAGGCATTGCAGGGTCGTGAGTAGTTCCATCGATCAAATCGTGTTAGGATTTCATTAACGAAACCAATTGCAGGTATGCCTGGCCATTGAATTGGGGCCCTACCTACCGATACTCGTATGGCATTTGCCTTGCTGCGAGCTGTACCACAATTATTATGAGTTGGGTTTTCAGACAGCATCTGAAGACATTGAACAAGAAGCTGGAGCAAGAAGAGCAGGAGAAAGGGATCACAGAAAAGGGATTCCGCTACGTTCTGTGATTGAGGGCACGGTGATTTGCGAGCTTGTAATTTTACAAACGACAACCATGTACTATTGATATTCAAAGGTCCCGTTTTCCATTCTTAAATAGCAGATGCCTATAATCGCTTTGGAAACATTGATGCGTGCTGGACGGCATAGATAAATTCTTGGAGCCATTGGCTACTACAAATTTGCGGCGATTACAATATTAGCACATTGATATCCGATCAAGTTCTGGAGAGATTATTCTACTCGCACCACCAACTTCTCCAAAAAGCGCTCCTGCTTGTTCCCACTAGTGCCTTTTCTAATGATGCAAGGTCCTCGACAAAAGCAAGCCTGATATGAAGCTCACCTTAGCGTGGTTGAACCGCATGTTTAACTGCCAGAACAACGTTTCATCCCCATCTCGGATATTGGACAAATCATCTAGTTCGTAAACAGAAACTCATTCACGTGTATCCAGATTCCAGTGTCGGTTCGCCTGTTAGCAAATGTAGTAAATATAATATGCAAGCAAAATAAATGTGGAGCACATACCTGCCGGGCCTCAGAGTATGTTTTGACAGTCGCGGTCACAGGCTTGTCTTTGCCATTGTAAGTGAGCACAAGCTTTTGTCGTCAGGCGAGGAAATCGTATTGCGAATTGCATATCCGCCGGGTCGAGGTTTCGACATAGCTGTTGAGTCAACTCTGAGGGAGGGTGGAGACGTAAATTGGAGCGTCAGTCGGCGCGATGGCTGATATTAAGATTGATGTCATCAGGTCTGGCAGAGAAGTAAAGTCGATGGTGTCTTCCTAAGCCTGAAGTCGATTGAAAGCTGGAATCTTCATGATGGTGTAAGGTTCCATGCACCCAATCAGTCACAGGCTATATTCATGGTATGAGACGGGACAACTTGAAGGGATTCGAAGAGTCGCGTGGGAAAACGGACTCGCGGCCCGCGCTCAAAAGATCAATGATTTCAAACTTGTCCTGGAACCAACCAGTTCCATTGGCGGAAGGCCATAGCTAGAGACTCTCAGTCTGCGCTACTCCAACACGTTGCCAAAATATTTGCTGCAGTATGTGAGCCCAAAACAAACCAGGCTTATAAGTACCTCTCTGACAGTCACGCCATCATCTAGCATGATGTCCTAGTTCAGAACGCCCACTTCAAGTTAGCGTGGCGCACGGGCCCAGAAAGAAGCATAATTTTTGATGTACTAACACGAGGCGGATCCAGCAGGACATCTCCGAGCACATGTGGGCGGATATGACTGTTATTTGTAGACGCTTTCCGAACAAAGTTGTATGGGGTTTGCACATCGCAACCCCAATATTGCGAGTGCGACGAGTCTGTTTGGTACCGCTCAGAGGGTCCGGCGCCAAGGAATTAAGAACAAACAGAACCACCATCTCGAAATGTGTTGTATGCATCTATATAAAATTGGATTTCATACATGAAGAACACAGGTCCACTCAGGCCATTCCCATCTCCGCCTTTCTACCATGTCAATAGGCCAGTCAGGCGCTGTGTCGCTCTCGCCCTTCAAGGAGCATGAAAAACTCGATCTCAACGTAGAACTCGGTGGTCTAGAGGCGCGCAAGAAGCTGGAGCGTAGACTCTTACGGAAACTTGATCTGCGCATGTCTATCCTGGTTGTTATGTACATCCTCAATTATGTGAGTGCCTCACGCCAAAGCGGCTGATCTTCTATCTCACTCTTGTAATAGATTGATAGAAATAATGTTAGGTATGCCCTTGTCGTACATCACTGACGCATCGTTCACAACAATCAAAGTGCGGCGCGTTTACGAGGGCTCACCACCGATCTTCATCTCGAGGGTCAACAGTTCGCAACGTTGTTGTCCATTCTCCTTGTCGGATATATTATCATGCAGATCCCCTCTAACATGTTTCTCAATTACATTGGAAAGCCTTCGCTTTATCTGCCGGCTTTTATGGTGGTCTGGGGCATTATATCGGCGCTGACTGGGATCACTACAAAGTACGATCTCTCGTCGGTGTCTGACAAACTACTGACCACAATCCTCATATTAGCTTCACTGGAGTGCTCCTAACACGATTCTCTCTCGGCTTCGTAGAAGCAGCGTTTTTCCCCGGTGTTGTATTCTTGATTTCGAAGTGGTTCGTGGACTATCGATATTATCAACAGATGGCGTCAAATTTCATTTACAGGTACAAGAGAACAGAGATAGGTCTCAGATTGGCCATCCTCTCTTGGTAAGGGTGCCGCTTCTGCTGTTGGACAGATATATCTACTACTAGGGACATTGCAGCGGATCTATCCTGAGCAGTGCCTTCGGAGCTCTCATTGCATCAGGTATTCTTGGTGGCATGAATGACGACCTCGGACATGCATCATGGAGGTGATTCAATCGAGTGATGTGCCGAGGAGTTCGGTCTGAATTTCATTTCGAAGGTGGCTTTTCTACATTGAAGGAGCTCTGACTGTTTTCGTTGCGATATGTGCTGTCTTTATTGTTCCAGACTTTCCATTGACGACAAGGTGGCTTTCTGATGACGAGCGTAGGCTTGCATTGAAGCGTATGGAGGAGGATGCTGGTGTCGGCGATGAGACAGAAACTGAGCAGGGCGGCCGTGGTCACGGCCTTTACCTTGCTGTGACCGACTGGAAGGTGTGGTGGATCGCATTGGCAACGGCCGGTCAGATGGTATCATTGTCCTTCACTATCTACTTCCCCACCCTTAGTGCGACGCTTGGGTACAATCCAACGGTGACGCTGCTCCTTGTTGCGCCTCCATTCGTAATTGCCGCAATCGTCACACTTGCGTTGTCTATGTGAGTTGCCATGTGCAATGGTGTAGGAACTGATATGAAGAACTTCTCAGGCACTCTGATAAAACACAAGAGCGGTTCTACCACATGAGCGCTTCGTACATCGTTGGTATAATTGGGTTCATTATTGCATTATGCACCACGAACACTGTGGCCAGATATCTATCTCTGTAAGCACAAGATTTTAATTTCGAGCATATCATTGATATTAGCCGTCAACAGATTCCTCATGGCGCAATCCAATGCAGGACTTATGTTGCTGCTCGCATGGATCAGTAACACATTTCCTCGACCCCCATCAAAGCGTGCAGTATGCTTTTCGCTCATCAACGTAGTGGCGCAACTCGGCGGCATTGCAGGATCGTGAGTGATTTCGTCGAACGAGATGATGGTAGGAATTCATGATCAACGCTGATTGCAGGTATGTCTGGCCATCAAATTGGGGCCCTACATATCGATACTCGTACGGCATCTGCCTCGCCGCTAGCAGCACCTCGATTATAATGAGTTGGGTTTTCAGACAGCATTTGAAGACATTGAACAGGAAGCTTGAGCAGGAAGAGCAGGAGAGGGGGATCAAAGAACAGGGATTCCGTTACGTTCTGTGATCGGTGGAACGAGCTTGGAATTTAGGAACGATGGTTGTTGGATTTGCCATCATTCGCGCCAAATCCATTCTATGCTTTACAAGCTCGTCGTGACTTTCTCCGCCAAAATATGAAAGTCTGTCGAACGCCAGACAATAGGAGTTACTGATATCAGTTTGCTTTACCCCAACAGGCTGGATTCAGGTTGCCTAACTTTCGCCATGAAGCAGTGAAATCCTGTAAGATGTGAATGTGCCGGGCGGATCTGCCACATTGTTGGAGAGGGTCGTCTCTGTCACCCCGGCGAGGTACAGTTCGGTTCCTGTCACAGCCTCGAGGTACCACAAACACTGACAGGTTGCTTGGCAGGCAAACCTATTTCTCACTGTCAGTCTGGCCTCATTGTACTATCTTGAGACGATGCCCACCAGTAAGTAAGATAAAAATAGTGAGCAGGATATACAAAGCCCACTGATATCTCCACCCCAAAGTGACATCCAATCATGCACCTACTTCTCTGCACCATCATCTACCTCGTCGAATTTATCCAAGCCGCACCTACTACAAATGCTACTGCCACTAGCGACAGTCCTGAAGCCCCATCATTTATGAATAGAACCATGTGGAACATCGTCTCCAGCTGCGTTCTCACTCTCTTTGCGTGCAATTACAGTGCCATTCACCCAAATATTCCGAGTCCTAAAGACAGCACCGTTCGTATCCTACGGCGACGACTTGGCATCATGATAATGGCACTAATCGCTCCTGAACTGATCGTCACATCATGGGCTATGCGCCAGTGGATCAGCGCTCGCTATGTTACAAAACAGTTCAAAGAATCAGGGTATTTCAATGTTCCTCAACCGCAGAAGCAGTATGAAAGTCAGTCGTGCTTTCCTACACTGGATGTGTTCCTCCGACAACTCACCATGCACATCCTCAGGTCACGAGTTGGCTGAAGTGCCTGCAGAGCAACTCGAAGGTGAACTCGACATCTATCTTGTGTCCTGAACATGTTCCTCATGGTTCGTTTGCTTCTCAAGATCATAACCAGCTTCTCGCAGCGCCCGCTGAAGATAAACCATCTATTTCTTCGACAGTTCACAGTACTCCAGTGTCCACGTCAAAATATAGAAAAACTTACGCTCTTGCGAAGCCATTCAAATTCCTGTTCAAGGCTTATGTTTCCGAGCAATCTGAAAGCAAGCCCGATCCGTCAAACCATACCTGGCATTTGGCTTATGTGCATTGTTAGATTATGCGTGGACTCAGGGACACAGCTTCTTTGTGCTGATGGGTGGTCTCATGCTTTATGTGGACGGGGAACCCTACCACACACTACAGTCTGACCAAGTTCTCACGCTGATACGTGAAGAGTGTATTGATGCCCCTTCCATAACGGCAAAGCAGATCAGCGACCGTAGCAAAGGGAATGTCATCTCAAAAGGATTGATCATGCTTCAGGCGGCCTGGTTTGTTCTCCAGCTCATCTCCCGCGCCATCTATCACCTCGAAACCACCATGTTGGAAGCGGGGACACTCGCTTTTGCGGTCCTCAATTTCCTCACCTATGCTCTGTGATGGAATAAACCCCTCGATGTACAATGTCCACATCCAGTGTACTGGAAATCGACCAAGTCAAAGCCAGAGGATTACATCGATGAGTATGTTTGCACCTCGATGAATTCTACCACTCCTTATAATGGCTGACTTAGTGTTCCTGAAGAAGATGATAGCACGGATGCGACTACTAAGTCGGGGATTGTTATCTACGATGCACCCTTGGAACTGATGGGCTCGTTTGACATCCTCACATCTCGAAAGCTCCGAGTTCCAACATTCAATGGCTACCTCAAACTAAGAGATTCGGACCCCGTAGTTCTTTTAATTGCTGGACTGCTTATGGCAACCATCTTTGGCGTTTGTCTTTTGTTTGATAGTCCATACTAATAGTCTAGCAATCACGATTCGCGTTGAATAACTTTCTGATGCTTTCGTTCTGGGATCCATATGATATTTTCATGATCTCATTAATAATTGGACATTACGGTTACGGAGACACCCGCTTCATCCTGTCCTATGTTCCCAAACTCACCCAAACTCACACCCCCAAAGTGCGCCCCCGAAACTCACATGCCAATTCACGCTAATTCACGGGGGTGAATTCACGCAGGTGAATTCACACCGCCACTTTCGCAGTACACTACTCGTCATCATGTTCAGGCCATGTCACGCTCATGTACTATTTACTACCAATTACTACACAAATACGAATAACAGTGTAAACCCAATCACATTACCTTGTATATACAGCTGGTGGTGAATTGAACTAATGAACTGATTTGTGAGCACCGCAACAGTACTTCAGTCTTCCACCCAACACCGTGCAGTACTCAGGCTGGTCTTCGATAAAGCTCCGATGATAATGGGCGAGCTTCCAAACACATGATGTCGAACTCGTCGTTTATGTAAATATCCTCGGTTCAGACCATAATCTCGTAAGGCTCAGTATTACTCAGTTCTCCTTCCAACTTACTCGATGAATGCAGACAATCCTCCTCGGAAGAAATACTTCAGGTGGAGGCAGAAGAAAAGTCGTTCAGAACCTGATTTTGCAGAGGAGAGTATCAGGAGGGCAGCCAACGATGTATGTACTTTCGTTTTTACAACTATGTAATGTTTCTAATGACTACAGCCGTCCTCTCTCTCGCCTTCGAGTAATGGATTTCGCAAGTTACTTAACAAGGTCACCAAGCGCTTCGCTCGAAGCGCTCGACAGTCTCCTAACCCTGAAACCACCGCTGCAAGTTCCAGCGCACAGGCTATCCCACCCATTCAGACAACCAAGGTATGTGTAATCTCAACTCTGAGTATGCCCCGGGTGCCATAATTTCTGCTAATCGCTGCTGCAGGATCCTGTACTACACACCGCTCCCACTCTCGAATCGAATCCTGACCTGTCTTCAAATTCAGGTATTGTGAAGGTGAGTTCGAGCAACTTTGTCTCTCTCTTTCGATGATGTACTAAGGTCCATCATCAGGCCGAATTGCTGCCTGACATGGAGCTTGTGACGGAAACGCTCGCGCATGCCCAAACAGGTGTCGCAGGCATCGGCTATGCCTCAACATTTGTCCAAAATACTTCTTCAGCAGCCGACAAGTTACAACCTCTTCCCAATGTAATCGACACATTCTCCGCAATTCTCGGACCATTGAAGGTGTTCAACTCTGTTGCCACCAGGCTCGCAGATGTAAGGGCATATATCTCATTTTTGTACGTGGCTGACCTTCGTGTATAGGTCCATCCGTATGCAAAAGCGGCATTGAGTGTATTCACCTGCGCATCCAAGGTGAGCCCGTTTCCCGATGCTTGCCTTTGCAGGTTACTAAGAATGTCTGGTGGAAGATGATTCTCGATCAAGCAAACCGCGATGATGCTGTTCATGGTCTCCTCATGAAGGTCTCGGACGTCTATACTTTCATCATGGAAGAGGAGGAATTGCCCAAAATGCAATCCATGCTAGCGGTATATGTGAAGATAGCCCAGCAGACCCTGGAGTGTGCTGATTTCATCAGCCACTACTTTGAGACGAAGAGCGCCTGTGAGTTGACACCACTGCTTCGTCTCCTGACACTGAATATTAATATTGTCTCATTGCACAGGGATAAGGCTTGGCAAGCACATCTTCAACGAAACAGATGCCGCGATCAAGAACTACAGCAATGTTCTCGACAGCCTCATGCAGCAATTCCGAGACCGAGCGGCCCGTGACACCGTTGTGATCGTCCACCATATGGGTAAGAGTCAGTTTTTAAGTTTCTTTGAGTCTTATCTCACATTCTATGACCCCTGGCATAGCTGAGAGTCTAGACCTCATCGGCATAGAGTACGCAACAGGTGCCGGATTGAATACGTCTAAATGTTGTTTGCCAAATACTCGCCAAGACCTTCTGAAGGATATTCAGAATTGGATTAGGAGCACCGAGGAGGATGCTCCACGCGTCCTATGGTTGTCTGGGACAGCAGGCAAGGGGAAATCGGCCGTTGCCCATACAATAGCCAATTGGTATATCGAACACGGTGGTCTTGGCTCATGCTTCTGCTTCGATCGTACTCGACAAGCGGATCGCCGTCAGGATAAAATATTCACAACCATCGCAAGCGAATTGGCAGACTGCAACCCTATCATGCGACGAGCCTTGGCGCAAGCAGTTCGTGATAACAATGGACTCAAGCACACGTCAGATATCACAAGACAATGGCAGGAATTAATCGTCGGACCAACAAGCATAGCCTCAGAAGCCATCGCTGCACCCGTCCTGATTATTATCGAGGCGTTGGACGAGAGTGGTGAAGCAAATTCGCGGGAACAGATTCTTCGTCTGCTCGCTGGCAAGTTGAACACTTCTACTTCACAACCAGCCAAACTCCCAGCAAACTTCCGCATTCTTGTCACTTCCCGTCCACTTGAAGACATTGGCAATGCCCTTCACAACCCGTCACGTGTTCGCCATATCTCCTTGGATGACGTCTCGTCTGCGTCCACAGACCATGACATCCAGCTGTACATTTCCACCAGGCTGGAAGATCTACGCGACGTGTTCAATGACGCGGACTTCAAGGCACTCGCTCATAAATCTGATGGCCTCTTTGAATGGGCTCGGCTTACCTGCGAGTATATCAAAGGTACGAACAGAGTCGGCATGGATCCAAAGGGTCGGTTCAATGTTGTAGTTGCTGGAAGATCTTCAAAAGGTACACGTCTGTTGGATGATATGTACGTACGCGTCTTGGCAGACATCATGCCAGAGGACGAGCGCGAGGAAGGGATTCCCATATTTCACTCTGTGATGGGGCAAATCATTGCATCGGTAGAACCGCTTCCCATGCCTGCATTGGCAGCTATGCGACTACATTTTCCCCAAGAGGCTTGCGACTACGAAGTGGACCGGGTCATTGGGCCATTGAGCTCGCTTTTGATTGGCATCACAGATTCTCATACTCCCATTCGTCCGCTCCATGCATCATTCTACGACTTTCTCACAGACAAATCGCGCAGTCGTGACTTTTTCGTTGATACATCATCGGTACAGAACGATCTTGCCTTCGCCTCGCTTCGGGTCATGGAGCGCGGACTTCGCTTCAACATCTGCTCTTTGGAGAACTCGTACTTGCCCAACTCTTCCGTCCCTGACATGGAGAAACGAGTAAAGGAATCTATTCCAGCTGAGCTATCATACTCATGTCGATTCTGGGGAACTCATATAAGCGCTACATCCTTCGAATCATCGCTCGCTAAGGAAGTTGAAGCTTTCTTCGAGGGTGAACGCCTTCTTTGGTGGTTGGAGGCCCTGGCTTTGATGAAATGCCTCAGCCGGCCAGCACAGTCCCTCTCGTCTATTGCAAATTGGTTTTCGGTGCGTAGTCCAAGCTCACTCTTCGCCCAATCAATTCTTACAGGTAGTGGGGCGGTCATAGGGTTGTGCTGGTTATACGCACATCAGTGAAGCTGCCAGGGACACCCAGCGCTTCGTTCGAACCTTCGCGCCCACCATTCTACGCAGCACTTCACATTTATATTTGTCCGCTTTGCCCTTCGCTCCAACGCAATCGAGAATATTTCGCAAGTTCGCCGCAAATTTTCCTCGCACCCCCCGCATTGTGGCTGGACATGTCATAAATTGGCCCCAGATGGAAAAGATAATCCACGCGAATGACATGGTTTATTCGGTTGCAATGTCGCCAGACGGAAAACGCATCGCATGCGGTTTATACAACGGAACAATCCAGGTGTGGGACACGGAGACTGGCGAGGAATTGTGTACCCCACTCCAAGGCCACACTAGCTATGTTGTGTCTGTCGTATTCTCGCAGGATGGACATCACATTGTGTCAGGTTCGTATGATGAGACAGTCCGGGTGTGGGATTCGGCGACTGGCAAGGCATTGGGTACTCCCTTCCGAGGGCACACTGACTGTGTTACGTCTGTCGCAATCTCTTCGAATGGAAACCACGTTGTATCTGGTTCTTTTGACAACACTATCCGGGTGTGGGAGATAGAGACTGGTGTTGCATTTGGATCCCCTCTCCACGGGCACACTAGCCATGTTACATCTATTGCAATCTCACCGAATGGAAATCACATTGTATCCGGCTCATATGACAAGACTGTCCGTGTGTGGGATATGGAGACTGGCAAGGCGTTGGGGGTTCCTTTCCAAGGGCACACTGATTGTGTCCAGTCTGTTGCAATCTCGCCGAATGGGAAGTACATCGTGTCCGGTTCAAACGACAAGACGATCCGGGTGTGGGATATGGAGACTGGTGAGGTATTTGGTACCCCTCTCCAAGGTCACACTGCCCCTGCTAAGTCTGTCACCATCTCGTCGGATGGAAACCGCATTGTGTCTGGTTCATCTGACAAGACGATTCGAGTGTGGGATTTCAAGACTGGCGCGGCATTGGGATCCCCTCTCCAAGGCCACACCAGCTCTGTTCACTCTGTCGCTGTCTCGCCGGATGGACACCGCATAGTTTCTGGTTCACCCGACAAGACGATTCGGGTGTGGGATGCCGACACTGTTACGGGCAAGGCATCGGTTGCCACCCTCCAAAGCCACACTGACTCCATCAACTCTGTTGCAATCTCGCCAGACGGAAACTGCATTGTGTCCGGTTCACATGACCAGACAGTTCGGGTATGGGATATGGGAACTGGTGAGGCATTGGGTGCCCCTTTCCAAGGACATACAGAACCTGTTCAGTCAGTTGCAATCTTGCCGGACGGGAAGGCGGTTGTGTCTGGTTCAGACGACATGACAATTCGGGTTTGGGACATGGGGACTGGCAAGGCCTTGACCGCCCCTCTTCGAGGCCATACTCAAGATGTCTACTCCATCGCAATTTCACCGGATGGTCATCACATTGTGTCTGGCTCAGCGGACGAGACCGTCCGGATGTGGCATAGTGAGACTGGCGAGGCATCGGGTAACCCTCTCGAGGGGCACTCTAACGCTGTTTTGTCCGTCGCAATTTCATCAAACAGAACTCACATAGTGTCTGGTTCAGACGATACGACAATTCGAGTGTGGAATATGGGGGCTGGAATGGCCTCGAGCGCCTGTCTCCGAGGCCACACTGCCTCAGTCTACTCTGTTGCAATCTCGCTGGATGGACGTCGCATCGTGTCTGGATCAGGGGACGAGACCATCCGGGTGTGGGATATTGAAACTGGCGAGACAGTGGGTGCACCCCTCCAAGGGCACACTGCCTGGGTTTGCTGTGTCGCAATCTCGCGAAATGGACAACACATTGTGTCCAGTTCAGATGACAAGACAATCCGGGTATGGGATATGGAGACTGGCAAGGCAGTGGGTGCCCCTTTCCGAGGGCACACTGACTCCGTTCGGTCTGTCGCAATCTCGCCTGATGGCAAGCGCATTGTATCTGGTTCATGGGACAAGACCATCCGCGTGTGGGATATAGAATTTTTCAACCAGCCCCGCCCATTCACAGTGCCTGCCATATGTTTTTCACCTAACCCAACCCATGCTCTTCATTCCGCATCCTCATTCCTCCAAGATTCCTCCACCCCAGCCTCAATTGCCGCAAACGAGGATGGATGGGTTGTAGGTCCCGACGGACGGCTTCTTTTCTGCATCCCAATCCATTTCTACCCGGCTATGTATTTCCCAGGCAACACACTGGTGATTCACGATCGTGCCTCGCAGCTTGATCTACGCTATTTTGCACACGGCATGTCATGGCAAGAGTGTCGGATGTAGGATGCAGTTTCCTCTTCGCAATATTGACTAAGGATGGAGATTATCCGCAGATATCATACAACACATATTTGCCTTGTTGCGATGCTTCATTGCGACTTCATTTGTTCTGTCCCGCTCCTCCACTACTCCATGACCATGTACTGCAGAACGTTTGCAAATTGATTGCATTTCATACTTTTCTCCCGTCGTTACTCAATCGCTAGACTCGCTTTCCCATTTATTCTATCCTAGATCAATCATGAAGTTCAAGCTCGACCTGGACTTGGACCACAAGAGGTCATTTTGTAATCAGCATGTTGCCATATAATCTTGTCTGAATCAGTGGCTTGCCAGCCCTTGAACATACTAACAGCATAGTTGTCATCCAGCTACCTGAACGACACTGGACGAAGGCTAACATCGGTAAACTACAACTTTTCCCACAGGAAGTACAAAATTCGTTTTGGTCGGTCTGGAAGCCCACAATACAGTAACATTATACTATGGACGTCCAAACTGACGAAAAAAAATATCTTGGGGGACACCTGGCTCACCAGTGGCGTTCACATACACTGATTTTTCTGCATGTACCCAGTATGTATGTGCTATCGCAATCAAGGACTGGATGTTTGAGCAAAGCCGAAAACAACGTCGATTATTTCTGATTTCCCGCAAATCCTTCAGTATGTGCGGACTTCAGAAGTCACTCTGTTGGTGGAGAACAACCGCAAATGTCGAACAATAGAAACAGAAAAGGCACGCTCACTCAGTCCCCTTTCAAAAATATCCAATCTCAAATAAGCAAGCAAGCGCTCTATGCTTTCATGTGCGACCCCAGCGTTCGCGTATTAGAATTATCGCCTCGTATGGGGCCCGTTGGAGATATTCCAAGATAAACCGTCCATAGGATGGATACTTGGAACGCGACACATGGTCAAATGAAGTGAGTACTCCAAGAAATTGAGCCAGAAAAATTGCGGTTGAATGTCATGAGAGATGGCGCTAGACCACAGGGAGATCAGCGCAGGCTTTCGAATTATAGAACAGCGGATTAGGGGCGAGAGAGTCAAGTTTGTAATCTAGAGAAGAAGTATCAGTGCATAGACGAGTCGACGCCATAAAGATGTGTCAGACAGGCATCCTCACCCATATAAATATACTATATGAACTGCAGATGCTGCAAATACCCTATACGTGCACTAACATGGCTCATCACATGGGAACAGCCGCACATTCACCTATACGCTAGCTGAAATTACTGAGGGTCTACAATGAGAGGAGGCTTTGAAGATGCGTGGGAAATTTTCTGTTGTCTTGCACATGTCTTGCACGTCTTAAGTTAGCCTTCGATCCGACGATCGGTCTGGCAAGGGTCTTGTGGTGGCTGACTTGTAGCACCACTATATAGGTTGACATCACTTACACGTACACCTGCTGCGGGGATGTTCCATTTTCAATTGTCCGTACACTTATAACCCCGAGGTCCGTTCATATCCTTTTTCACGAGCAGGCTTTCGACGAACTCGCGATCAATTTTTTCTGGAAAATAAGTCGTGCTCAAGTGACGAGGCGACCGATTATTGTAAGAATTTTCAGGTATGTACTATGTGTATCCCACACTGGCAATCTCATCGGCCAACTCTGCTAGAGCGACCAGACAGTCATGCACCTCAGTGTCATGTGTTAGGCGCAGCCTGAGCCATCAATCTCAACATAAACGTAAACTTTCCAATCATCAAGCAACCTCCAACACCCCTTCCCCCTAAACCAACACCTCCACCAGCGCCACCAACGCCCGGTGCAAGACCAGACAGCGGTGGTAATTTCCAAGCATCACTGGTACTATATCCGATTTTGCAATTTTCCCAAGCATCGATGAATTGCAGCGTAGCAGGAATTTGGGTTCATTCTTGCACCACAAACCCTGGGACCCGATCCCCTTCACTGCAAGCACAGGATTTTAATTTCGGGCACATCAGTTCCTCATGGCGGGAGCAATTCAATGCAGGAAATTAATGTTGTCGTGTTCGTAGGGATCAGTAACACGTTTCCTCGACCCCCATCAAAGCGTGCAGTATGCTTTTCATTCATTAATGTCATTAAAAGGTTCCATTTTAAACACGCACAATATCCACTGAATGAGCGATGTCCCAATGGCATGTCCATTGCTCGAACAATGATCATCGCGCCATCCGTTAAAGACCAGTATAAACCTCTAGATTATTATTGCGTGTTCGCTAACAAATTGAGGCGATCTTGGCGGAGAAATGTTTGAATTGGAAGTATCATAAAGTACATCTCGCGTGAATAAAGGCAAGTATTGCCCTTGAATGTTAGTATGCGACCGTTTCGTTCGTAGATGTGTCGTTCGTAAAAATGAAAGCTCGTAGATCACCGCACCATCGTTCAAAGAACGTAGCGGAATCCCTTTTCTTCGATCCCTTTCTCCTGCTCTTCTTTCTCCTGCTTCTCGTTCATCTTCTTCAGATGCTGTCTGAGAACCCAACTCATTGCAATCGCAGTGACGTTAGCGGCGAGCACAATGCCATAAGAGTTTCGGTAGGTCGGGCCCCAACCCGATGGCCAGACGTACCTGCAAACGATGTCGTTAATGAATTTCTACCATCATTTTGATTGATGAAACTACTCACGACCCTGCAACGTTGCCGAGTTGCTGAAGCGCATTGATGAGCGAAAAACATACTGCACGCTTTGACGGCGGTCGAGGGAATGTGTTGCTGACCCATGCGGTCATCAAAATCAGTGCCGAATAGGACTGTGCCATGAGGAACCTGTTGACGGTCAATATCAAGGATACATCCGAAATTAAGACACGATCTTACAGGGATACGTATCGGGCCGCAGTGTTCATAGTGGACATTGAAATAAGGCAGCCAATGATACCAACGACGTTTGAAGCGTTCATGTGGAAGAACCGTTCTTGCACTTTATCAGAGTGCCTGAGAAGTTCTTCGTATCAGCTCCTAGATCGTTTGACATAAAGCTTACCTGGTCCACACGAACGTGACCAAGACAGCGTATACCCAAGGAGGTGCAACAAGGAGCAGCGTCACCGTTGGGTTGTACCCAAGCGTCGCACTGAGAGTGGGGAAGTAGAAAATGAAGGACAATGCTACCACCTGAGAAACCGATAGGAATGCGAACCACCACACCTTCCAGTCGGTGATGGCGAGGTAAAAGCCGTTACCGAAACCGCTGTCCTCAGCTTCTGCCTGGTCCCCGACACCAGCGGCATCCTCCTCCATACGCTTCAATGCAAGCCGACGCTCGTCATCGGTAAGCCACTTTGTCGTCATCGGAAAGTCCGGCAAAACAAATATAGCGATGATCGCGACGGAGACAGTCAGAGATCCTTCGATAAAGAAAAGCCACCTTAGGAATGAAATTCAACGGAGTCCTTCGACAAATCAGCTTGGTTGAATTACCTCCATGCGGCTTGTCCTCGGACGCCGTTCATGTTAGCAAGAATACCCGATGCAATGAGAGCTCCGAATGCATTGCTGATCATGTTTCCGCTGTAATGGTGCTGGCAATGAATATATCTGTCCACCAACATAGTGGCGCCCTTACCAATAGAGGATGGCCAATCTGAGACCTATCTCGTTTCTCTTGTACCTGCAAATTGGATTTGAGCCCGTCCGCTGGTAACATACTCGATAGTTCACGAACCATTTCGAGATCAAGAATACAGCACCGGGGAAAAATGCCGCTTCCACGAAGCCGAGAAAGAATCGCGTTAGGAGGGCTCCAGTAAAGCTATTATGAGGGTTATACTCAGTAGTCGGTCAGACATCAATGATCCGTCATACTTTGTAGTGATCCCAGTCAGAGCCGATATGATTCCCCAGACTACCATACAAGCAGGCAGATAAAGCGATGGCTTGCCGATGTAATTGAGAAACATGTTGGAGGGGACCTGCATGATAATATATCCGACATAGAGAATAGACAGCAACGTCGCAAATTGTTGGCCCTCGAGGTGAAGGTCGGCGACAAGCCCTCGTGAGCGCGCCGCACTTTGTGTGACGTGAACGATGCGTCAGCAATGTATAACAAGGGCATACCTAGCGTTATTGCGATCGATCTAGTACAAGATTAAGATATAGGCCAGACGCCTTGACGCGAGGTCACTCACAAAATTGAGGATGTAGATGAGAACCAGCATTGACATGCGCAGGTCGAGTTTCCATAAGAGTTTGCGCTCCAGCTTGTTGCGCGCCTCTATACCACCGAATTCTAAGTCGAGATCGAATTCTTTGCACTCAACATGTTCCTTTGAGGGCGAGATCGATACAGCGCCTAAATGATCAATTGCCATGGTGGAGATGATGGGGGTGGGGACTGGTGGGGATGGCCTCCATGAGCTGGTATGCTTTATGATCTTTTATGATGCGCCAACCAATTTCAAATTGATAAAATACACTTCTAAATGCGTGCTTCCCCCGTTCCTTGGAGCCAGAGTAGCGGTACCAAAGAAAACCGGCAAGCCCGCCTTTGGCGTGCAACGTGTAACGCCGGACTGCCCGTGAAACTGTTCAGAAAGCATCGACAATAACAGTCAGGTCCGCCCACATGTTCCGGATGGATTTAGTCTCGTAGTATACTCACAAGTCAATCATTCTGTTCGATTAAGATACTGTAAATGGTGTTAGAGAATGGTGTTTGACCGACGTCACGCAAAGGTTGCTGGAACTAAGTGTGCGTGCCGAACCCCGTGGTACATGTTGCATGATGATCAGTGCAACTGTCAGAAATATCGTAGTGCCATGGGGTATGGGGTAATTTGCTGCTTATATTTGATCGAAAGGCCTGGCTTATTTTCGGCTCCTGCTTCTGACTACGGCCCCGAGTCCGATACTATTGATAGGCTGCCGCATCCTACCAGCTGGATGCTGAAAAGGCATGGAAATCAGATACTGAAAGTTCATCTAATAGTGGCAACTGAGAAGAGTGGACACTCACATTAGAAATTGACAAGAGGTCGTTGAGATCATTGCACAATATATGTATGGTGTAGTACATGACATGCACGTTAACGATGAGCAATTTTCATTGGATGTGCCCTTATTATGTAATAGAAGGACCCGGTTTTGGCCGACTAGTAGGTACTTGGCAATTACAAGCAATATGTAGTACAGCCTCAACCACTCACTAGCAGCTTTCCATCTGCAGACATGGCAGCGCACGTCGCCAACCCCGCCGGCTTCATGCTGTCGACAAGGCTGGGGGGTCCGTGTTGAACTTCCAGTCGGACCATAGCCTGGAGTGTCACAGCTCAGTGATTGACGTCTTGACCTTGAACAGCTGTCAGCGTGAGGCCCTGGGTAGAGATGTAATTTTTTCATTGACCACTTAGTACCTGGCCAGCGCATGCGGTCTACTCTCACCGCAATATTGCTCTTGTGATATGAGAGGAAATGAGACATAGAAACAGATTCAACGGCCCCAAGAAATGGATACGAAGCCTCGTTCAACGTAACCGACTCCGGTCCGATGTCTTACTCTTGTTCCTTTTTGCTGATTGGTATCGTGACAGCGTCTGCCTGCTGCAGATCTACCAGAATGCAGGCAAGTCGATGACGCTTGTCGTACCCCTAGAAAGCAGTCTGACCGTGCCGCATAACCCGGTAATAAACCGCGGCCCGAGATCGTCCGAGTCATCTGACTTGACGTGTATTTCTCTGCTACTACTCGTGCTGGCAGCTGCTCTCATGGCAGACTGGGAAATCCAAGTCCTCCACGACGCGTGTCGACCAACACCGCCCAGCCCCGCCCGTGCTGGAGCGGTGGGGGTTCAATGAACATGGGCGGAAAGCCATGAACCTGTTTCAATGAACTCTCGCTCACGTTGATTGAATTCCCTGCAAGTCGCAACTGACACGTTTATGTATTCTAATACGTGGATCAGTATGCCAGCAGCCAGATTGATGTTGCACAACAACTTGTAGGTGTCATCTCCATGCGGAGGGTAGCGGAAATGTGGAACGAAGTTCTGTGAAGTATCACAGCGGGCTGGTAGGTTCGAAGGCGCATTAGAATACTGGGGATGCGAGAACGTGATGAATTTCGTTGCGCTTTAATTGCCTCCTTACTTTGTCGTACATTCTTCGGTCTCCATCGGCGAAAGTACATCCTTCACAGCTTTGCATCTGCAGACATAGCAATGCACGCCGCCAGCCACACCAACTTCGTGTTGTAGACGGCGTGTCGAACTTCCGGTCTAACCGCAGCTGGACTGTCTTGAACAGTACGTGAGGCCCTGCAGCGCATGCATATGTAAGTGTCTGCTTTCCTCGCAACGATCCTGTGACCGAGACGCACAAAATGATTGAATGGGACCGTCAAGACAGTCATTCACTGTGACCGGGTTCTTACCTCTCGCTCGATCAGTGCTCTACAGCGTCTTTTGGCGGCCAATCTGCCAGAATACAGGAAACTAGACGTACGCCTAGAAAGCAATCTGCTGTGCCACAGAACACAGCAGAAAACGACCCATCCTCCGAGTCGTTTGACAATGATTCGCTCCCAGACGTACATTGGTTCAAGGCGTTCATCTGCAACTACTCGTGTTGGTCTCATAGCAGCCTGAGGCAGCCTCCGCGATGGTGCTTGGAGTGTGTTGACCAACCCCGCCGGAATCGCATGACAGCCCAGGGTACTTAGGCTGGCAGCCGTGCTGGGGTCCGCGATAGCTCCGAGTGGATGTTCACTCCCTACGTTCGTCGAGTTCCCTGTGACCGATGATTTCAGATTCTAATGCACGGCTCCGAGTCCATCAGTATAATAAACGAGACAACACTGGGGAACGCGGCAGCGATGTAAGACTAGGTGAAGTATCACAGCGGGGCTGAGAAGGTAAAGTGGTAAGTATTAGACGATGATTCAAGGACGGGTTAAATTTTGTTGTGCTCAAACCGCAAGTCGGTTTGCATCACATTAGATCCGGACAAAATGCAAATATAAGATGATATAATGGCATTCGCCTTCGCGGGCGGTTCGATGAAACAAGGGGATCAAGCACATTATGTCCCAGCCGCCACCAACTCACGGAATGACAGCACTTAAGGTCCTACACCCCACACCTCCAGTCCTACACACTCAAAGCTCACATCCTTTTTAACGCCGACGCTCCCACCATCCACACGCGAACACAACACTGCGTTATCAAACGTAGGGCATGGTGCCGAAGATCCGTCGAGGAGGGAGGCATCAAGATAAAGACCGTAGTGCCCGTCTCTGCACAGCAAAGCGAATTAGTCGTTGATTAGGAGGGAAGGTGAAAATAAACAGGATGAAGAGGAAAGAATACTCACCCGCCACCAAAAGATATGAACCCGGGCTCACAGAGCGCAACATAATCATTCCTCCCTGTCCATTTGTACACATCCAATGTCCCCTCTTCTAGCCCGTCATCTTTGCTTGATGGACGGTGGTATCTCCAGAGGAACCTGGCAGAAAAAATGAGCTCCAAGGGCCCAGAGGAAGGGGCGAGGTTACTCACGACTCGCCACTTCCATAGTACCCTCCTCTTTCTAACCACAATCCCTCCCCCATCCAAGCACCGAAAATCGCATCTCTTGCGTCTTTCACGACAACAATAGCTCCTTTTGTCGCACCCGGCGTCGAGGGCAACTTAGGTTCGCATCTGGAATACAGCGTATTCAACGAGATACCGTGTTGATCAAGCGAGTACAGCAGAGTCCATGTTCGCGGGAGGCGAGTGAGCGCTGGAAGGTGGGGACGAATCTGGGACAAGTCAATGGATAAGTACTTGCTGCATGGACTGAACCAAAGATTACGGACGAGATTTGCAATTGTCTCGCTTAGTACCACTGCTGTGCCCTCTCTCCTTCCAACGAGATTAAGACCCTGTATCTTCTTCCCTTTTCCCAGCACGCCCATTACTTCGCTCATTTCCTCGTCCTGGAGTGTGTCTGAGAAGCCCTTGTCCCAGGTCCGATCGCCTGCGAAACCAGGGGCACCGGATGGTGGAATATAAGGGTGAGCGCTAAAAGGGGTTCCTCGCGTGATGCCGGACGGCTGATGCGCGACATGCATGAACGTCGACTGAGGTACGTTACTGGGCGTTGAGTTTACCAAATTTGATGTAGGAGATCCCGTGGATTGTCTAGATCGGGCAGATGGCAGGAACGCGGAAACCCAGCTGGAGGAAAGGCGGGATAATGTAGCGTGCGCTGGAGGCGTGGCTGGGGAAGAGGGGAACGGCAACGAGCTTGATGTAGAAGGAATGTGTGCTGATGGAGGGGAGCCCGCTCCGCTGAGATGGGGAGGAAGCGGTGCGCGTATATTGACAGGGGACTGTGAGGTCACGCTCGACGTGAGCACAGGCAACTTGTGAGGGGGCGGCGAAGGAGGCTTGATATCTACATCGATTAAGTTCCCAGTTTGTGGTATAGGAGGCGGTAATTGTGTAACGATATTACGTTGAGGCGATGCTGGTCGAGTTTCGAATAGGGGGGATAATGGAGGTTGACTGTGCGCCCGAAGAAAGTACAAGGGATCGTCTTCGTGCCCCAGCAGCTCATCAAGGACAACCCGCCTACTCTGCTCAGAAGCAGTTTTTGCGCTTGAAGTGAACTGATCAAAGTAATGTAAGCTTGCGTTCCCAGATGTGACAGGTCCTCGCGACTTCAGGGCAGAAGGTTCGGCCACCGGGAAGTCAAATGAAAGCGGGTCCTGAGCAGCAGGCACAGATACGAAGGCACCGAAATCGGAGTCGACACTGGCTGTGCGATTTCTGTTTTGCTGCGGGCGAGTTGTTGTTGTTGAAAGCGGATCACGAAAGCCATGTGTTGGGGTTGCTGGGGGCGTTGCAGGGGCGAACAATGTAGCGAAACGGTCGATCTCAGCTGCATCGAGTGGGTTAATGCGTGAGGTAATCGGTTGAGGTTGTGCAATTGGCCGTTGGGAGGGCCGCCGTGTGTGGTCATGAGATGGTAGAGGGATAAGGGGTTGGGTGGTCATCGTCATTCCGTTATATGATGGTGTTCTGGAAATCGTTTGGTCTCAGCATTTACATTCAACGACAAAGGACATACATGCAAGTTATAACATGAGGTGCTAGATAGCTATAGCCTTTGAAGCTGCGGTAGGGTCTGATAGACACGATGCAATTAGTGAATACTGATGTTGTGGGTTACAGATGGCATGAACGCTCTTCTAGGGCTGATGGCCAGCTAACTGTTTGAAAGCTGCAGTAGACTGACCTGCTCAGCAAGTATGACAGGATTGAGCTCTGCACATGCACATATGGTGAGGTGGTGCTGCGTTGCACGAATGAGGTCCACTGCGCACTCACAGAAGTACAAGTACGATGCGTGTTTGCTGAGCGCTGAGACCGCGAACTCCTCAGGTTGTTTACTCCAATGAAGCATGGGCGATACTTACAAGGACTTTCGAAGAGAATGAGGAGTAAGCTGTCGTCGTTGATTAGTACGTTGAGCAGACCCTTGAGGTAAATAACGTCACAGCCACCGCCATCATGTTCGCAAGCGCACAAACAGCGCTCGCTAGTGCTCACTGGGCCACGCTGGGTACTATCATCAAACTATCATCACCAGTGGTTCTGGCTTTGCGAACCACGAATCTCCCAATAGTATGTAAGTAACACTGTCTTCAATATTGTCTATGCTCTGCCCGTGGAAGAGTACTAATCTCCCTAAAAGCGCTACCCTAGAAATAGAATCACCTAAGTAGTGATTGGTCCGGAGCTTGGACTTAAGGTGAGGAATCGAAGGCACGATCATAGACGGCGCGCTGAGACTAGTTGATCGACGCCCACAGCTGTACTGGCAGGTCTAAGTACATAACAAAAACAGTATTCCTTGTTCCAAATCACCCAGGTTCCATTTGCTCAAGGTTAGTGGTACCTGCCTCGAGGAACCAACGTGACTTCCCTTGGCGAGAACATTTATCCCATCGACCGTATCATAACAATACAGGCACAGGCAGTGTCCCCGTACTGGGACTTTGTCTTCCAATGTTCTGCTTGCACAAGCTCCACCGACGAAAGACCCGCGCGGTCCTGGAAGACTTCAACTTGCATCCAACACCAGGCATGCTGGCCCAAGGAATCCCAGCAGAGGATGACTTAGACGCCCCCCTCTGCTCAATATGCTCATCCCTAAACCTCCACACAATCCTGCACGACGGTGTCCCAGAAGAACACGCAGTCCCTCTCGGTCGTCTCACAGACATTCTCGACAAATCCGACCAATGCGGACTGTGCAACATCATAGCTATCATCATCCGCAGCGCGTGGAGCTTGGACAAGCAGCCTGGTATTGACATTGTTGGCATTACCTGCGCGCTGCACGCAAGGGAGTGCGGCTACCCGCGCATTCCGGATTATTCGCCTGTACTCAGGGATATTTGTCATCGGCTCTATGTCCAGACTTCTCATAAACCTCAGGGTGTGATGGCTGCTATGATCGCAGCGCAGTCAAACCTCTTGCTGGATATTCAGCTCCTTGCAGAGGATGCATCCAAGGTCGGCAGGACAGAAGAGCTTCATGGCAGGAGAGTTGGCCAGAACGTTGATATCGCCTTGTTGAAAAAGTGGATCCACATCTGTGAAAGCGAGCATGGGGAGCGATGTGAAACGGTGTGGTGGAGGGGCGCTGAAGAGATTCTTCCGAAGAACGTAAGAGTCGTGGATGTAACTCGAATGGCTGTGGTTCCCGCACCGTCATCTTGTCGTTTCGTCGCTCTTAGCTACCTCTGGGGAGGCATGGGGAAAGAGTACTGGACGACACGGGCAAATATCAAGCAGCGCAGAGCACAAGGCAGCCTCGACGTATCAGTGCTACCAGAAACTATTTTAGATACCATTCAACTCGTCCGTCAGCTCGGCGAGCGGTACCTATGGGTCGACGCGCTATGCATCGTCCAAGACGACCCCAAGGATAAATCAGTGCAGATCGGCGCGATGGAACTCATCTACAGCAGCTCCGTATTCACAATCTTCGCTACAGGCGGCACCTCCGCGCGTGATCCTCTCCCTGGCATCCGGCCAGGCACCAGAGATCCCAAACAACAAATAACTAAGATCCAAGGCCTTCACCTCGCCGTCCCGCTCGTCCCCCCTTGCGAGGCAACAGCAAGTTCCGCATGGAATACACGCGGCTGGACATATCAAGAACTCATGCTATCGCGCCGCCGTATTTTTATCGCAGCCCATCACATGCACTTTGAGTGCGGAGAGGACGTATGGAGCGAAGATGTCGTCGCAGAGCGTATCAACCTGCCCTGGAATTCGCACCCCCTGATGCGCAGCGGTTCAGGTGGATTCATGTTCGCGGATGCCCCACCACCGTGGATGCGCTCTGAATATATGCGGCACTATATGAGCACCATTAGAAAGTATACGCAGCGCATGCTTACTGTGGAGTCTGATATCGTGAACGCGATTACAGCTCTCATCAATGCTATGACTAAGGGGTATAATCTGGCTGGTGGTGACCCTGGTAAAGCGTTCCGCTTTGGGATGCCCCTGGTGGATCTAGAACTCGCGTTGGTATGGCAGCCTACGCCCAATGCATCCTGTGTACGGCGCGTGCCTGGGGATAGAAATATGACGCCGTGGCAGTCCTGGTCGTGGGCTGCGTGGCGGGGTGCTGTCCAATACAGCGAAGTAAACTTGTTCGTCGATTGGCATAATGGGGGCTTTTCTCCATGTATCATCCAGTCACTGGTGGAAGAGTGGCATATCGTGGATGATGATGGTCAGCTTGTTCGCGAAGACGTTCGACGTACTGGTCGGATCACAGAGTCTATCGAAGAAGCGAACTCCAGTCCATACGTCATTCCGAAAGGTGATATCGACGCATACACTCTGATCACTGAGAATGCGCCCATGCGGCCTGGGACGCTAGTATTCAGGACTCGGTCAGCTCGTTTCAACATTACTAAAGCGGACGATGTCGTCGGTTCTAATCCTGAGGCTAACTACGCCACATATTCCATACTATCTAACATTCCTCGACCATCGACGTTAGTAGGACGCGTCATCCTTCCATGTTCCACCCATTCACCAACTTCATCTGAATTTATTGTTCTCTCTCGCGCAGACGAAGTCGAAGGGTTGTACGATGAGGATACACTGGGGAACCGATATCCCGGATGCATGTTGTATGTGATGGCCGTGCAGGAGATGCAGAATGAACAGCGGATGGAACGGGTTGGCGTAGGGGTTATTTTTGAACGCGCTTGGCCGAACATGACTGCGGAGAAGGTTGTTCTATTAGGATAGCAGTGGAGAGAAGTGAAACTGCTCACTGAACGCCGCCCCTGTCCCCCGTTCTGCCTGCGGCGTGCATGGAATGTCATAGTAGCTGGCCTTTGCGTAACAAGAAAATGACAATTGTAATGTTCGTAGTACATACACGGAGAAAGCAAAAATAAAGAAATACGTCGAGTAGCGCTAGAATTAGTGACAGGAAACTGTACAAGTGACAAATGCATTTTAATGCAAATGAACTAGCTACTTCAAGATCTAGTAGTGATCGACACATCCGTTGACATAGTAAGGCTAGGAAGCATCGTAAGAAATGGTACTACACATTCATCAAGAAGATGAGCCCTCTGACATGATCTCCGCCAATTTGTACCTTCTCAGGGCAGCATGAGATTTGACATATCCGTCGAAAAAACTCACATAGGCTTCATAGGCCTCAGTATGTGGTCTCAGGAATTCGAGGATGTTGTGATGTGCTTGCACAGTTGTCTCGACAACTTCTTGCAGAACATCTTGTTTGGTGAGACCACGAGAAGAAGCCATGAGTGACACATAGTTTGCAGTGTCGCCGTCAATTTCCTCTTTGTAATATGATAGTATATCACTGGATTCAGCGAATTAGAAAGTATGACAGGAGACGATAATGCGCTTACTTTGTGTGGTTTATAACAATGTGTAAGTATGGTAGACATTGAACGTATTCCCGAAGCGGTAGTACGGAAGGGAAAATGGAGAATGCAAATAAATCTGACATGCCCGACAGGCGCCTGCAATACTCGGGGTATAAGGGGGTCTGTTTCGAGATCTACAACACCAATGGTTAACTACCATTTAAGCTGTTGTTCAGATAAATACCATACCTGCATGTCTTTTGTCTCGCTGTCAAGCAAGATGGAAGACAAGGAGTTGAGTGAGGACGTGACCATCAGATTTGACACAGGTGGGGAATAATGGCGAGCCACGTCCCGCAAGAGCGAGTCGAGCGCCTTCATGAGTGGATCGTCTTGTGGCTGATGGTTCACAAACCGCTCATTGAAACGACGCAAATGCACCAGGTCGTCTCCCCTGACCATGATGTCATCGATGCAGATCAAGACAGCGGTTGAGAGGCAAATCCACATCTTGGTTTCACGGTCAGGAAGATGGGCGTAAGTGTACATCATGGCCACGCCAATGTCCATGTACGCGCGGATGGAATGATCTCCGTCCATAGGAAAGTCGCGCTTAATAGCCTCCTGACAACATTCAGAGTACCACGCTTCGTCAATTGCGATGTCCACATATTCCAAGCCGCAACGTTTAAGAAAATTGCCGATGACTTGGCGGATGTTTCCTCTGACCTATATTCGAGATTAAACACAGAAGCGTAGTACACAGTAAATATACGCACATTGTCATCGAGAGTGCATGTGGACAGGCTGTTGAATGACATTGTAGCAGGAAGGAGCTTTAGCAAGAGAATGATTGAAGCGAGTTTCAGGCACCTGGTATCTATACCCGGTCCTTGCGATGCGACTGATGTTGTGCCATGGGCGACCTCTTTCTGATGCAGTCATGCTGCCACTACATGCATAAAAGCTGCGGCTTTGGGGCCAAGCCGGGTAGGAGCATCACCAATAACTGGTAACTTCTTGCCCGAACGCTGACAACGTCCTGACCCCCTCGCAGGAGCCCAGGCAACCACCTTTCTACAATAAGATCTGTGTGGCTCTATTTATTTGAATCTTGTGCCACTGGAGCGCGGTTGTGAGAAGATTCCTAGACCGCAGCGCTACTACGGAGATGTGGCAAGAGATTGTATGCGGATCTCCGAGTATCGCTTGCCTTCGAATTCGTACGTCCAAGCCTGTGGACGCACCTTTGTGTATCAGCATATTTACAAGGAACGACTCAGATAAATCATGCATATGCACATCGCAAGCTATATGTAGACAGTACTTACCGCATATTCATCTGATCGTTGTAGTTGTAGTCTCAGGGGCAGGATAATCCGATTCGGAACTTCACATTCAGTGAGAAAACTGGCACATGGTTGGAAGAGGTATAGATCGGAGCGTGGGTGGAGGGTAATCCCACAAAGACAAGGCCGCCGGCGACGAGACTAGAACACTGGGGTTCTACTGCATGCTGTCGAAGCACTGATCGACAAGTTTAATGTTTGTTTTCCAGCTCCACTGATAATTATAGTCGATCTGATCTCCGCGACGCGTAAAAATAAGAATGATATCTGGGGAAGAATATTTCCTCTACACACATATTCTCCGTCAGTGTTTCAAGATACTCCCTAGCTGAGGCTGCATTCGTGTCGCACTTCATCTTTTTTGAGCATGCGACCGTTACCCCTCCTTAGCTGCGTCGGTTACCCTCATCATGTTCTTGTAGTAATAACAGCCATTCTATCAGCACGCACGCCACAATCCAAAAGACCAAGTCCATACCGCTCGAATAAACAAGCAGAACGCTCCTAAATCCAGTATCCCGCAGATTTCGAACACTATCCTCCTCCAGAACCAGACCCAGAACTCCCCGGTCAACGAGTTCTCCTTCCACGGCGTATCGTAACACCCTCCTGGAGTCTACATAGATTTGGCCTTGCACCCCCTGAAACAATATTAATATTAATGCGGAATATATGCACAGGCAAGTCTAGAGACACTAGAGCGACTCATGCATACACTCCGTATAGATGGAGCACTACATGTGGCACGGGAATGCATGAGCATAAGAAAGTATACATATATACGAAGCGCAAGCTCACTGGAATCTAAATCCGACACCCTCGGCGCTTGTCGATGCTATGACCGGGGGGGTTGAGGTAGCTTGGTAAGTTAAAGCGGTCCAGTTCGGGATGCCCCTCGCTGACGTCTTGCGTTGGTAGCACCCACGGCCGATACATACCGTACGCAGCGGGTAGTAAGCACTCGGAGTGGAAATGCGCGCTGTGGCTGCCTGTGCTGAGGACGTAGAGCGAAGGTGTCATTGCAGAGCGTATTGATCTCCTTGGCTCTCCCACCCCTGGAATGCTGCGGGATGTATTACAAGCAGGTTCAGAACCACGTCTATTTTCGTGAATGCACCACTGTAGCGGGTGCACTCTGTATATGGAACATTACATGCGATGAGCGTCGTACGACAGTATTATTATACGAGGCGCAAGCTGATGGTGAAATTTGATCTTGCATGACCAGGGGTTGAGGTACTGGCGTTGATCCGTGTACAGCGTTCCCGTTCGGATCTCCCTCTGGAACTTGCGTGGTAGCACATGCCGTATGCAGCGGGTACCTGCGGATGGGGATACGCCGCCGTGGCCGTCCTGCATGGTGGGGTGCTGTCCGATACAGCGAAGTAAGCGTGTTCGTCGAGATCCAAGGTGGGGGTATCTTTTCTTCTTGAATTACCAATCGCGGGTGGAACAGATTAATGAATGATGCCGGTGAGCTTAGTATATACGGACTGACAGGATGAAAGGAGTGCATACCCATGCCTATGATGTCAGTACGTCATGCCGAAAGGTGATATCGACGAATAAGAGCTGATGCGCCTGGGATGCTGGTGTTCAGAACTAGCTGGTTTCGAGATCAGGAAAGATGATGTCGATCGCGAGGCCAAGCATGCCACATATTTTATACTAGTCTGACATTCCTCGATTGTGATCGTTCTGTCTCGCACAGCGCTAGGGAAGCGATGCGTGTGTTGTATGCAATGGCGGTGCGGTATAAAAAGGAACGTGTTGGAATAGGGGTTATATTTGAACATGCTTAGTCGACCGCGGAACAGAAGATCGCCCAGAAGGTGAACGTTGATGGTGGGGGCCGACCCTGTCGGGATTGGACTGAGAATCGTAGGGGCGGGATCGAGAGACGCTAGTATGACAATGAGGACCTGGACGGGGGCAATAGAGTTCCGGGTGCAGTGGGGTGGGCGGTGTCAGATGGACAAGGACGGCTGTCAGATAAGTTGAAAGGTGGACTTTGTTCGCTGAAATTAGGTATGAGACGGAGGAATGGTGAACCGGGACGAAGCCCGAGTGAGCGCAGTTCTTTTGAATTGAATAGGTGCCGTCATTTCCGAAGGAGACACGAACTCACGTGGGTTTACGGGCATCGAAGTTGGCCGTGAGTGACCCGTCCGTTTTGGTAGATGGAACCTAGTGCCCTCCAGTGGATGAATCGACATGGACAAAAGACGCTATAGCTGTTAGTATGCCAGGTCTGCGCGCACTGCAGTGATGAGTCGATGGTACAAAGATAAATGGAATCGTGTGGATTGGTTGAGCTAGCAATAAATCTGTCCAAACCTTGTTTAAATTTTGTTCCGACGGTGGGTGGCCTCGAGGCGTTGGCTGCGCAGGGTCTTCTTAAGTTCTTCACCAACGTTTTACCGATTGAAGAGCGACTTGTCGCTTTGAGTTTCAAGTCACCAGTGGCTTGGTTCTCCTTGGTCTTCTCCTATTCGGCTCCAAAGTTTGCTCTTCATTTCCAATTTCCGCTTAAGTTAGTTCCTTCTTCTTGCCATCATGTCGTCGTCTGCACCGGCAGCAACAACCCCAGCGGCGACATCAGCTGCGCCAACAACAGTGGCGCCTACTTCTGTCTCTGGTACTACTTCTCCCATATCTAATCCCCCTACCACTCAGCCCCCTTCTATTTCACCACCAAGTATCTCTTTTTCTTTTCGTCTCCTCTTCAGTAAACATCCAGTGCTAACAATTCCACAGTTTCTACCGTTCCAACCACAGTCATAACACCCACAATAACAACACCAACAATAACTTCAGCAGCACCGATTACAACTGCCTCAGCTTCATCTTCCTCCTCCACCAATGTACAAACGACTACCCCTACCACGAGTACAACCCCAACGACAACCTCAATGACCTCCGTGGCAACTACAGTACCCATCACGATAACGTTTGTCGTCTTTTCCCTCTTTTTTTATACCCTAGTTCATTACATCCACCAGGTCAACGGATCCATACGGATCAACAATTACGATCACCACCTCCGTCTCCACAACCACCTCTATCCCTGTCGCAACTCCCACACCCACTCCCGTAAACAACTCAACCAACACCGGCGCTATCGTAGGTGGTGTCGTCGGTGGTATCGCTATAATCGCTCTCCTCGGACTCGTCTTCTTCTGCCTACGCCGTCGCAGACGTCGCGATGAGTTCGACGGTAATTTCGACCCCGACCGTGTCGTCTCCCAATTCTCAGGGGGTGGAACCCTCCCCCAAGTCGACCTCGGCGATGAAACAGAGGTCACTCCCTACCCTGACCGCAACGGAAGCATGCGCCAGTACGGAGAAAGCCCATTCGTCGCTGCTGGCGCGGGTGCAGCCGGACTCGGTGCGGGTGCAGCTGCAGCAGGCGCAGGTATCCACCGCACAACCTCCCCACTCAGCTCTCCCTCCCAGTACTCCGACACCGCCACCTCTCCCGGCGAGGGGTACCCCTCTCAAGGCTTCATACGCCCAGGCCCGGGGCAGTACCCCCAAGGCGGGCCGAACATGTACGCAATGCAGCAAGCAGACTGGCACAACCCACGCCCGCTCACAAGCCCCGCCCCAAGCGTCAGCAACACCTCCTCAAGCGGCCGCGGAATGAAGGAGCGAGAAGCTGCAGCTGGTGGTGGGCGTCAGGGGCTCGCGCTCGCTACGCAGCAAGAAGTCGACGGGGAAGGTTCAGGCGTTGTTCAGCACCAAGATGCAGGCCAGGCGCATAGTGAGGAAGGAGGTGAAGAGCCGCGAGATGTACCACCTGCGTATGAGTCTATTAGGCCTTAAACTCGCGCACGCACGCACGCTCAAAAACGCACGACCATGAACCTGAATCTGACTTTGCGAACCCACCCACCCCCCTACCACGTTTTATGCGTACGCCGCGATGGACACACCACTTTTGGACGTTCATACGTATGTAAAGTGGATCGCCATCACTATCACCATGATCTTTAGACCCTTGATTCGCTTGTTTTATTATTTTGACGGTTTGTTGTCGGTGTCGTTTGCGCTTGTGTTGAATGTTGCAAGCGTGGCGGCTGATGACGCGGTCGATTCTTCTGTAGTGTTTTGTGTTACTTACCAGCATACGTATTCGTATTTCATGCATGCGTTGTCATATCATTTTTTCTTTCGTTCTACCCTACATCAATGCAAATTGCGTATATAATGTCTTTGTCGCTCACCAGCATAGCATAGTGTACAGCCTGGTTTGCACGTGACCAAATATGTATAAACACACTCCGTTTCTAACCGTGACTGATTTGAGCTTTTCGTTGAAACTGTGTTGCTTTGATTTCGCGATTCTCTGCTTTTGCAATTCTGTGGCTGGCATAATATTTGTCCTGCTTGGCCACATAGTTGAGACAGCATTGACGTAGAGTGAGTCTATCCGCGGGTATGGCGCAGCATACGCCGATCTCTCTATCATCCACCAGTGGCCTGCAACTTGTTCGAAGCTTCTCGATTAAGGAACGTTACTCCGAAGTCCTTCTGCGTGTATTGGTGATAACGATTCTAGCGCCCATCATAGGTGTGACCCTCTGCCCACGTCCATATCATTGGCTAATCCATATTTAAAACAAGTGGTCAACTGCTCTCAGCGTCAAAGTGATACAACATAGCGTAAGATGATCAACCCTTGTCCAGATTCTAGTTCCCCATTATCCACGTCCATATCATTGGCTAATCTCCACCGTGCATCGATCCAGCCAATCGATAATGGGCGCTTCCAATACACATGTTCGTCGTTTATGTAAATATCCTCCGCCTGGACATGCGGCAGCCGCCTGTCCATTCTGCGTGCCATAAACCACCTTCCTCGTTCCTTTTACACCAAGCAAACTCGTAAGACTCATCCTCACTTGTCCTTCCAACTTCCTCGATGACTCATGAAGACAATATTCCTCGGAAGAAACTCTGGCGGCTGAAGAAAAGTCGTTCAGACCCTCATTTGGGAGAGGAGAGAGGCAGGGGGGCAGTCAATGTGCGTACTTTCGTATTCACAACTATGCGTTGTTTCTAATCGTCACAGACGTCCCCTCTCCCGCCTTTGAGGGATGAATCTCGCGGACGATCGCCGGGGAGATTTCTTTTTCCAGAGTTCTTTGCCAAGGTGTCCATCCCCTTCCGTCGAGGCGCTCGAAGCGCTCGACAGTCTCCCAACCCTCAAACCACCGCTGCAACCTCCAGCGCACAACGTATCCCACTCATTCAGACAACCCAGGTATGTGTAAGCTCAACTCTGTGCATATTCGTGTACGATAATTGCCGCTGCAGGATCCATCGCCACCCGTCACTCCCACTCCCGAGCCGAATATTGAGCCGTCCCCAAATCCAAGGGCCGCGGAAGTAAGTTTCACTAATGTAGTTGGAGATATTCTTTCCATAATGTCCTAACGTCCATGATATCAGGCCCAACATCTCGACCCGAAGTCTGTAAACGAAAGAATCACTAGCGCCACCAAAGGTCTCACAGACATCGGTCTTGTCCCACCAATTATCCAAGATACATCTTCAGCACCCGACCGACTACAACCTGTTTCCGGTGTGATCAACTCAGTTTCCGCGTTGCTTGGACCCTTGAAGGTCTTCAACGCCATTGCCAAAGAACTTGCCGATGTACGGGCTTCTATCTCTGTTTTGTACGTCACTAACTTTCATGCGTAGGTCCATCCCTACGCGAAGGTAGCATTGAGTATCTTGACTTGCGCGTCCAAGGTGGGGTTTACTATATCATTACCTTCGCAGATTAACCGGGCTTTTCGTGACAGATGATTATCGATCAGGCAAACCTCGATATTGCTGTCTCCGATCTGCTCTCCAAGGTCTCCGATGTCTATAATTTAGTGACAGAAAAACAGGCGTTAGCCAACATTTCATCTATGATGGAGATATACACGAAGATAGCAGAACATGCGCTGAAGTGCGCGGAATTCATCGTCCATTACTCAGAAACGAAGGGTTTTAGTGAGTCCACGCCACCGCGTCGTTGCCTAGCACTCAATGTAGTCTCTTTGTACAGGTAAACGACTTGTCGGGCATGTTTTCAGAGGCACGGATGCCGAGATTCGCAGCTACAGTGATATTCTCGACGGTCTCATGCAGCAATTCCGCGATCAGGTGATTAGCGACGCCGCGATCATCCTGGATGGTTTAGGTAAGGATTTTCCTTAAACCCGCTGTCAAGCCTCTCTGATGTTAGATGATCCGTGACCCAGATGAGGATCGGGACCTCAGAGGCATGGAATATGCAGTTCATGCCGGACTGAATACCTCCAAATGTTGTCTTCCAAATACTCGGAACGAGCTTCTGACCGAGATCAAGTCCTGGATCGGCAGTACTGGGGAGGAAGTGCCGCGTGTCTTATGGCTGTCTGGCACGGCAGGGAAAGGAAAATCAGCCATCGCCCATACAATAGCCAACTGGTCTGAGGAACTTGGAGGTCTGGGAGCTTGCTTCTGCTTCGACCGCACACAGGTAGCCGAACGACGCCACGAGAAGATATTTACCACAATTGCACGCGACTTGGCCGATTGCAATCTTATCATGCGGAAAGCGTTGGCGCGTGCGCTTCACAATAACATCAAGCACAAGCACACCCTAGACATCTCGAGGCAATGGCAGGAGTTAGTTATAGGACCAATCGGCGAGGCCTCAAAAGCAATCAGTGCACCCGTGCTGATTATCATCGAGGCATTAGACGAGAGCGGTGAAGCTGATTCCCGGGAACAGATCCTTCGTCTGCTTGCTGGCAAGCTGAACACTTCCACCTCACAACTAGCCGAACTCCCAGCAAACTTCCGCATTCTTGTCACGTCCCGTCCTCTTGAAGACATTAGCGACGCCCTTCACACCCCATCACATGTTCGCCATATCTCCTTGGATAATAATGTCTCATCTGCGTCCACAGAACACGACATCCAGCTGTACATCTCCACCAGGCTGGAAGATCTGCACGACGTGTTCAATGACACACACTTCGAGACACTCGCTCAGAAATCTGACGGCCTCTTCGAATGGGCTCGTCTTACCTGCGAGTATATCAAGGGTACGGGCAAAGTACGGCTACCTCCGATGAACTGTTTCGAAGCCGTCGTTGCTGGAACATCCGCTAAAGGAACCCGTCTATTAGATGATATGTATAAACGCATCTTGGCCGACAGCATGCCAGAGGATGAGCGTGATGATACGATGCCCTTGTTTCGTTCTGTGATGGGGCAAATTCTTGCGTCGTTAGAACCGCTTCCCATGGCTGCATTAACCGCGATGCGAATGCATTTTCCGTGCGTGCATGACCGTTACGATGTGCGCCAGGTGATTGGATCGCTGGGTGCGCTTCTCAACGGGACCACAGATTCTCAAACTCCCATTCGTCCCCTCCACGCATCCTTCTACGATTTCCTCACAGACAAATTGCGGAGTCCCGACTTCTTCGTTGATGCATCGGCAGTACAGAGTGATCTTGCCTTTGCCTCGCTTCGGGTCATGGACTCGGAGGGCGGGCTTCGCTTCAACATCTGCTCCTTGGAGAATTCGTACTTTCCCAACTCTTCCGTCCCTGACTTGGAGAAACGAATAAAAGAATTCATTCCAGCCGAGCTATCATATTCATGTCGATTCTGGGGGATTCACGTGGCAGCTGCGTCCTTCGAAGCAATACTCGCTAAAGAAGTTGAAGCTTTCTTCGACGGAGAGCGCCTTCTTTGGTGGTTAGAAGCACTGGCTCTGATGAAGAGTCTCCGTGGCTCGGTAGACTCACTCTTGTATGTCGCAGGTTGGGTCACGGTGCGTGTCTCAAGTTCATTCTTTGCACAATAGATGCTTACGAGTGGTGGGATGGTCATAGGGTCATGCCGAGTGCGTGAATATTAGTGATGCTGCCACGGACACGCTTCGCTTCGTTCGAACCTTCGCGCCCACCATTTTACGCAGCACTCCTCATTTATACGTGTCCGCCCTGCCATTCGCTCCAACGCAGTCCAGAATATTTCGCAATTTCGCCGCAAAGTTTCCTCACACCCCTCGCATTGTTGCTGGCCATGTCGCAAATTGGCCTCAGATGGAAAAGATACTCCACGCGAATGGCTACGTTTACTCGGTTGCAATGTCGCCAGACGGAAAACGCATTGCATGTGGTTTAGACAACTTTACGATCCAGGTGTGGGATACGGAGACTGGCGAGGCATTGTGTGCCCCTCTCCGAGGCCACACTCACATCGTGGCATCTGTCGCATTCTCGCCGGATGGAAAGCACATCGTGTCAGGTTCATGGGACTGTACAGTCCGGGTGTGGGATGCAGTGACAGGAAAAGCTTTGGGTTCCCCTCTCAAAGGCCACACTAAAGATGTTAGATCTGTCGCAATCTCGTCGAACGGAAATACAATCGTATCTGGTTCTAAAGACAAGACAGTCCGGGTGTGGGATGCAGTGACAGGAAAGGCCTTGGGTTCCCCTCTCATAGGCCACACTGAATATGTTACATCTGTCGCAATCTCGTCGAAAGGAAATAAAATCGTATCTGGTTCTTGCGACAAGACAATCCGGGTGTGGGATATGGAGACCGGCGAGGCATTTGGTCACCCTCTCGAAGGACATACTGACCATGTTCGGTCGGTCGCAATTTCGCAGGATGGGAAGCACATCGTGTCCGGTTCGAACGACAAGACAGTCAGGGTGTGGGATATGGAGACTGGCGGGGCATTTGGTCACCCTCTCGAAGGACATACTGACCATGTTCGGTCGGTCGCAATTTCGCAGGATGGGAAGCACATCGTGTCCGGTTCGAATGACAAGACAGTCAGGTTGTGGGATATGGAGACTGGCGAGGCATTGGGTGCCCCTCTCCAAGGTCACACTGCCTTTGTTCTGTCAGTCACAATCTCATCGGACGAAAACCGCATTGTGTCCAGTTCAGATGACCAGACGATCCGAGTGTGGGATTTAAAGACTGGCGAGGCATTAGGATCCCCTCTCCAAAGCCACACCAACTCTGTTCTGTCTATTCCCCTCTCGCCATACGGAAACCACATTGTCTCTGGTTCGGATGACAACACGATTCGGGTGTGGGGTGCCGGCACCATTGTGGGCAAGGCATCGGTTGCCGCCCTCCAAAGTCACGCTGACTCTGTTAATTCTATTGCAATCTCACCAAATGGGAAGTGCATTGTGTCGGGTTCAGATGACCGGACAGTTCGGGTGTGGGACATGGCGACTGGCGAGGCATTGGTTGCCCCACTCCAAGGGCACACTGACTCCGTTCTGTCTGTTGCAATCTCGCCCGATGGTAAGCAGATTGTGTCTGGTTCAAAAGACACCACCATCTGGGTGTGGGACATGGGGACCGGCGAGGCATTGAGTGCGCCTCTCCAAGGGCACACTACCACTCCTGTTGACTCCATCGCAATCTCATCAGATGGAACCTGCATCGTGTCTGGTTCATCTGACATGATTCAGGTGTACAATACAGTGGAGTCCGGCAAATTATTATGTACTCCTCTCCAACTTGAAGAGCGCTCTCGCATTTTGCCTGTCGCAATCTCGCCGGATAGAAACTGTATCGTTTCTGGTTCAGGCAGCGGTACAATCTGGATATGGAATGCAGAGACAGGAAAATCATCGGGTGCCTCTCTCCAAGGGCATACTGACTGGGTTCGGTCTGTCACAGTATCGCCGGATGCAAAATGTATTGTGTCGGGTTCAGATGATGAGACCGTCCGGGTGTGGGATATTGGGACTGGCAAGGCCTTGGCATCTCTCCGAGGGCACACTGGCTGGGTTCGCTCTGTCGCACTCTCACAAAATGGGCAACACATTGTGTCTGGCTCAGACGACGAGACGATCCGGGTGTGGGATATGAAGACTGGCGAGGCAGTGGGTGCCCCTTTCCGAGGGCACACTAGTCTAGTTATGTCTGTCGCAATCTCACCCGATGGCAAACACGTTGTGTCTGGTTCACGAGACAAGACCATCCGGGTATGGGACCTAGAATTTCTTCACCAGCGGCAACTCTTCGAAGCATCTGCAATATGCTTCTCACATGACCCATCTCATGCCCTTCATTCCGCCTTGTCCTTTCTCTCAGATTCTGAAGCCGCAGCTCCTTATGGTCCGAACGAGGGGGGATGGGTTGTAGGTCCTGAAGGACGCCTTCTTCTATGGATCCCACGCAATTTCCACCCGGTGATGTATGCCCCAGGCAACGTGTTGGTGATACCCAATAATGCCTTGCAGCTGGACTTGAGTCGCGTCGCGCATGGCACGTCGTGGCACGAGTGTCGGACGCAGGAGGCGGGGTCATCTTCGTGATAGATATCTGTTGGGTCACGCCATGGGCACGTACCTTTGTTGATTGACTGACGTTGGACCGTACAATACATATTTTCCCTGTTGCGATACTTCGTTATGACTTCGTTTGTTCTGTTCTGTTTCATTCACTACTCCACGATATACCGCTGAACATTTGTTGCGCCCGAATCACTTGCGTTTTCATGCTCTTCTCATATCGCTACGCTACTCTCTAGACTAGCTTTCCCGTTTATTGTATCTTGGATAAACCGTACAAGCCAAAACTCGACCGTGTCTAGTGGATTTGAACTGTTTCTCTCGACAATGGTTATTTTTCATATCCTCGTCATCTCTGGATATGTGGCCCGTCGCAATCAACTTCCTTCACCATCCAAACCCACACTCGGCAACACACGCACACGCACAATCCAACTCGAACGATACTGAACAAAGAGAGAACACGGGCAGCTCAACCACAAGCACGTTCTCGTCCACGAATGTCCCCTCCTGAGCATATTAAGGAATATTTCGCCCGTGCTATGCATCCACGTCGAGAATGGATGAGACGAAAGGCAGGTAGCGGGAATAAGGAGGAGAGGTGAGGCGCAGTGAGTATTGCGGTTGGAGAGGACAGAGACCATACACATGTTGGGTGGGGACAGTGTGCCATTGTGGGTGTCGACCAGCCATTGAATTCGGCTCGGTTCAGTAAGAGAGATTATGATACGACGGGGTGTTGAGCTGCGATATCTGAGACCAATTGATGTCGAGCCTATCTGTGGAATACGCCGGTTTCCGTCATGATACTTAGCTGTGCCTACTTCAGAAGGATTCTTATTTGCTAAGGTTGGTGGGGTAGCCACGCGTCGTGATCAAGTTAGTATTTGATTTTGAAAAAGGCACAATGGGGACGATACATTCAATTGATGCGAGGGCGCGCTATTACAGATCTAAATGGCATCTCGACAGTATAAATGGGAAGAGCAGCCGTAACGGGGAGCAGCTCGTCCTCGTCCATATAGGGTGAACGATGTTTATCACTGGGAGAATATCATAAGCCTCTGGAACATCAACTCGAAGCAGTAGTGACAGGCGACATACCTACATCCGTGACTCCGTTGTCCTACTACATGACGGCATTTCGAGAACGTCGGGAAGAGATGCCAAACCATTCACTGGAGCAATCATTCCCGGGATTCCCGCGTCCTTGCCTAGATCGATAACGTGGAGTGCGGATGGAAGATAAAGAGATGCTAGCAGTCGGTGCGATGCAGGAACCGCCGCCTTTCCTATATGTGCAACGTTCACGATATTTTGGGGGTCAGAAGGATGCAATCTGCGATTTGGTCCCGATCGAAAGATAGAGCTAGAAGTGTCAGAACAAAATTATTGAGCGCGACACGATACACAAAGTAGTCGTACTAATAGAAACAAATAGAACATGACAGCACGACAATGGTATCGGGTTGCATGGGTGTTGAATTGTCGCTGACGTCCAGGTCCACATTTTTTCAGGATAGAGTCGGACGGTCCCGGGAGGATGATGAGAGCAATGACCATGCGAGTCATGGTCACTGGATGAGAGGAAGGCTTCGTGTATGTTGAGGGTGACTTTACATGCGAGTGGAGGGCAGAACAAAAGCCTGCGATTCATGAGGATACGTTGGTTATGAATACGGAAGAGGAATACATTTGGACGGTGCGCCAAGCTAAATGCGAATGCGAAAGAAATAAAGGAAGGGGTACAGTAGCCAGTTTCGAAAATTGTATGATGGAGATGGCTTCATAACCGCACGAGCAGAGGACAACATGTGAATAGAACGACGCCTCTGGAGCGCATCCAGATATGAAACGTCTATGGGAGAAGGAAAGGAATACGTTACTCCTGGGATGTTTTTCTCACTAGTGGTGGTTGTGTGTGCTGGGACGGGTGGAGAGTCTGAGACCGGGTTATCATCATCTGCTCAGCGGGTAGTACATATGATGAATGTAAGATCAATCGGGCGATCGGGATTTTCACATAGGCATATATGTGGGAGGCATATTGCTTTGCAGCGCGTCTTATGGATTACAGCTAATGGTGGAAGACTGTCACCTCGCCCCGGTACATGTGGTAGCTCCAAATTTGGGACTGGCAAAACTCGACGACATCCGACAGTGTGAGTTTGACCCAAAGTAATTGTAAGACTTGACAGTTAATTCTGAATTCAGAGCGTCCTCAGCGACATGATACTCAGCCCATCTTTCAACCGAATCGATTTTGTTTCCTCGGAATCAATAAGTTGCTCGTTGTCACCCACGATCTGAAGCTTTAGTCAATCGAGAGTATGTCCCAGACACCACAGGTGTTAGCCTGTTTCCTGTTCCCCCTTTCGGTGCCTCCTTCCGATGGATAACATTGAGCAGCTGCAGATGCAAGTCTAACAAATGATGTACACCTCAGACCTTATCCATCGACTACTATGCCTTCATCAGGAAAAAACAAATATTGGTGTAGTTCCAGTGACAACTACATATTGCTACATAGTCACTGTAGTGATATGTAGTTAAATATGGGGCTATGTAGAGCTACGGGAGGCGCTGGGAGTAGTTGTATTCACTGTACATCAGGAAAAAGCCCGGTCACTATATAGTACTATATAGCCAGGATAGACCGTGTAGCTCGGTAGTCAAGTCCCTTCTATATAGTATGTGAGGCAAATATGTAGTACTATGTAGTACTATATAGTGCTATGTAGAATTGGGTAACACTACTATGTACTACAGAAGTAGACTGTAGTTGCTTCGAGTTGTACTACAGGCAGCTATATAGCACTACATAGTTCATGTAGCGCTACTACTGCCAGCTACAAGCAGCTATATAGTCACACATATATCACATAGTAGTAGTAGTAGCACGCAGAATCACGAAAACAATGGAATTCGAATGCCTACGAATCAACAAATCAACATATTTTACAACTCCCTAGCCTCTGCATCATGCTGCTCCTCAAGTCGGTACTCTCGGATGGCATCTTCGAACGCGGTGTCACTGATCCGGGATGCAGATGACGAGATAGTAAGGCTGTCAACGCCTGCATGGAAACTTCAAAGCATGAAAGTTAGAATATAGTTTTCAAAAAGGACGCTGTTCAACGCACCGAGCCGTGTCGTGCAGATTGACACGAATTCTTTCGAGGAGTTTGTAAGGCGCCGTGTGCTCATCGAAGCGCTGCAATGAGGTGTGTTGATTGCGCCTAGTAGTTCTTCAATCAGCAATGCTCGAGCTCGACGGGGTATCAAAATACTGACTATCTATAAGGATAGGAATGTCGCCGGTCAGCTGCGCTCGCTGTCAACGGGTATGGCATAAGTCTGCGAAAACAATAGTTAGTAGTCAGCACTATAGCAATGGAAAAAAAGACTCGAAACTGTTGGTAAAGCACGTCAATAAAATACATGAGATGCGAAGAGGGTACACACCAAGAAAGCAGTATCAGAAAATTGTCTGGTGTATTATATTAGCACTCCGGAGTCCACATAGAGGTTTGGGGCTGAATTGGCCTTACTATGGTGCGTGAAGAGGGGGAGTCGCATGAGGAATCCAGCCCGATCCCTGCTGAATAAAGTTCAATCGCCTGCTCATAATTACCCGCAGCAGCAGCCTCGTCTCAATCATGGCTGGGGCATCAGCCATTTAATGAGTTGATGCGAGCACAGCAAGAACGTCACGAATCACATTGTGGGTGGGAGGGTAGCGACTTGCGGCCGAATAGAGACGTGAAGGGCACATCCGCGGGAAACGGACCTGGATAGGTGTCCCCGCAGACCAGAAAGTGTAACAACTTGAGTGTTTTCACGGGATAAAACATCGCATGGTGTCCTGGAGGCCATATCGTCGGCTGAAGGGAGGCGACATGCACGATGAGAGCAAAAGTGAATTCAAACTCCGCTGAGGCAGTATTTGAACTTTGAACTTCTGCAGTGAAAAACCATGAAAGTGGTCACGTGGTCTCGACACTTTGAGTCAACGAAGTATGAAAATTTTAAAAAACACGAACCATTAACAATTTAACTTGTTCCCACCATCACCTACTCCCTTGTACACTACTTAATGTTTGACTGTGAATTTCGGGGTATCGTGTCACGGTGTTGCGCAAGTCTGTGTCGTCGTCACGCTGGGTATCGTGTTGCGCAAGTCTGTGTCGTCTTCACGCTGTCATGCGGACCTTGCTTGCGTGTCCACACCATTTGGGCAACCTCAAACCATGGTTTGTACAAAATTCCCCGCTTTGTTCGTGTCTCGCGAGTATCATCGACGTTTCTGAATTTACTGCGAGTCCTAAATACAATGATTTTAACCAGTAGATTTTATTACATTTCGTACGTACTACGGGTGCGCCTGTAGCTGCAGTGGTAGCTCCTGTAGCTACCTGTAGCACGGGTGTTTGCCCTTGGTAACTATATAGCCGCATATAGCTTGGCTTTAGACTATATAGCGCTATATAGACAATATAGTGTAAGGTGTGCCTACATAGTGCTACTGTGCCTATATAGTGCTATATAGCTGTCACCCGGGCTACGGCATTTTGGGTTTTTTCCTGATGTAGTAGCCAATATCCGCAATCACATCATTGTACATCAGGAATGTCCTAACTCCACATTTATTATCTGCGCATTCTCCAGCTTGCGCGGTTTTACCAATCGAGAGCTCGCACATTTTCATCAAGAGTTTTAGACTCATGCTTGGTTGCCGTCTTCTTAACCAAAAAATTGTTTGAAGTCTAATATTTGCACATGTTTGGTTATTCTCATGCGCGCTCACATGATTTTAGTTCGACTTTTCAAACCATCCATGTTTCCCTTCCAGCAACAACCCACCAGCCTCTCTGTACCCAGATGCACCTCCCCTCCCTGACATGTCGACACTTCTCCGCAGGTTACTCAGCCATTACCTCCAGGTCCTCCGGCTGCGACGACCCTTCCCAATCCTCTCGAGGTACCTCTCGCTCGTCGTTCCAGTTGTACACCTGTGCCGTCTGAACGTTGTTGTGCTGCTGAAGGTATACCATACATACCTGCTACTCATTGTTCTGTTTTAGCATCTGTCGTCGCTGCCGAACACCTACAGGCTCTCAGGCTCCCTTCCACAGACAATCCCTTTCCGAACCGGACTCATGGTCCGGTCCTAGGTTCGGCCAAGACTCAGAACCGAACCTCTCGAGAGGTTCGGGGTTCGGCTGACGGTGAATAGGTTCGAACGGGTTCGAACCTCAGAATTTTTGGGTAGGTTTCACACATTTTTTAATCTGTGTTTCAGTACTTATGATGTTCATTTCTACGGACTCACCAAGTCCGTGCGTATTAAAACCTTTGAAGCCTGTCGAGCACCCCACTTTATTGGTGGATAGCCACGTCAGCACAATGCCGCTGACTGCGCGTTGCTCTGTAGCGAGTGGGGTCCTACCGTCCCAAGGTGTCGCGTTTTTTCTTGATCAATGAAGCCCTTCGTGCGACGGGCGCCTGCATTGGAATTTCCGAGGAGCATTCACGTCCTGCAGCTTTCGTTCTAGACTTCGGTCCTGCGAGTGTCCGATGGGCTCGAGGGGAGGTTGAGGCACGTCGTGGAATACATGGTGCTTTGGTGACAGAAGCGAGTGTTCTACGACCGGGGCGCCTGCTTGCACAGGAGGTCGTCAGCTCCCTGCCTTATACCTGAACCATGCTCGCTGGTTACCTATCCCAACACCAAATTCGACTTTCGCGAGATGAAGTTGTCTATCCTGTAGGTTCATGTATGCTCATCTTTCTGTTCGAGTTGCTTAGGTGTGCTTTTGCTTTTTGATAGGTTAATCTGCTTCAAGGACCTCCGCTGCCTAATCTTCAAAATATTTACGGCTTCGCGTGAGACACTACTGGAATTGCTGCTCGCTGACACGAGATAATTTGTGACGACTACTTAGAAGCTTTTTTATCGGTTTCCATCCTCGTCCGCTATCGCATACTACATTCTAATTACCATTTTGCAGTACGCAGAACTCGTTCACCTCAGTTATTCGTGCGCTCGAGTGTCTATGCGTTGCAGTGCTACACATGCATCACCTTCGCCCATCCCATCCTCGAGTGCGTTTGGAGCTACTAGCCATTGTCTGATTCAGAGCTGATTCTAAACTCGTTCTCAGAATCCAGAATCAGTGACGAGGCAATCGAAGATGCCATTCGAGAACACCAGCTTCAGGAGGAGAGTGGGCGGCGAGGCTAGTGAGAGCGGGAGCCGAGGGTCGTAGCAATACCGCTGTTAGTATCGACTGATCTGAATTCATTGATTTGTTGCTATTTCGTGTGCTATAATCTGAGTCACTATGGTGTGCTATATAGTTACTTGGAGTCCCACTCCTATGAACTACAATCTACTACTGATTTACTACAGTTGCACCATGTGCTGCTACATAGCGCTATGTAGCACTATGTAGCACTACATAGTCACTTCAGTTGCTATGTAGAAGGCATGTAGCAACCGAGCTACATTGACTACACGGACTACATAGTACTATGTACAGTACACTTTTTCATAACGCATAACGTCGGGACCCCTCCCAGGCTATGCATTATCACCCCTTATGCATTACCAAGTTGTGTGACATATGTGACACATTGTGATGCCATGTGCACCTGGGCTTCCCATTAAGTAAGCCTTACTATAGTGGTTTGTTACGTGCTGTGCTTACTATTGTTAGGCTTAGTTGCAGCAATCCTCAACACCAGCATTAAATGCTGTCCCAAATAACCCAGGACCTTTGGGTATTTGGCGTAGGTAAGTAGCTCGGCACTGTCGGCACTGTCTGCCGCCTATTTACGCCTAATGCGTCATCCCGACGTGCCCCGCCATGCGCTAAGCTTCCAAACTAGGTGAGACTCTTTTCTCACGCCCCTTGCCCTTCTCCATCACCGCCAACGTCGTCTACCACCTGTTCTAGCCATCGACGCGGGCTTCCTGCGCCCCCAACAGCGTCGTTCACCACCATCTTACGTGGATCTGTCCGTTGGACCAAGTACAACGGCTCTGGACACCGCCTAGGTGAGTCTTTTCTCGCGTGCTCTTTGCCCTTATCCACCACCACCAACGTCGCCTACCACCCGTTCTAGCCATCGACACAGGCTTCCTGCGCCCCCAACAGCGTCTTTCACCACCTCCTACGTGGATCTGCCTGCTGGACCAAGCGCAACGGCTCTGGACGCCACCCTCATCTCTCAACAACCCATCTACCACCCTTAGCGTCGGTGCACGCTTTCTACGCCTACATAGACCTTGTACCATCGCTCTGGATGCCACCCTCACCTTTCAATCACGCTATATACTGCCTACTTTACACACCTCGCTAGACCTTTTACCACCACTATGAATGCCACCCTCATTTCTCAAGTAGACCACCCGCTTTACCCAATATCATTGGCATTGCCAACTTATCTACGAGACCCAGTGTATTTCACAAAGTTAGCTTGCTTGTAGTCTGACTGTATGGGACTTTGCGCAATGAAAAACCCTTGAATTTATTCAAACGAGTGACAGACGAAGTATATCTATTGAACTAGATTTGGGCTGCCGGCCCAAAAATAGTATCTAATGTATCCAACAAGGCATCTGGGTCAAAGAACTCGTTAGAAGGTGACACAGGAGCGCTGCTGATGGCTGGAGGAGTAGGGGTACAAAAGAAGTCGAAGGTGGCGGGATTGATGGAGTCGACGGTGCCAGCAATATTGGCATTGTTGAAAGCCTCGGTATTGGTGAAGTTGGTGGAGGCACTAGCCTCAGCGTTGACATTGCTATTGGTGCTGGCATTGGTATTAGTGCCGGCGTCATCGTTGGTGTTGGTGCTGGTGGAGTTGGTACTGATGTTGGTGGAGTTGGTACTGATGTTAGCGCTAGGAATGTTGGCACTAGGGGAACTGGCACTAGGGGAACTGGCATTGGCAGCTGGGGTGGTCTCGTCTTCATTGTCGGTCTCGACGGTCTCCGTGCTCTTGTACGTCTTCTTGCGACGACCCGATCCATCCGTAGACCGTGCCCGCTTCTTTCCCTTGTCTGAGCGAGTCCGGCGGCGGTGGTCCGTGATCTCACCACTTTCCAGCTTCTCGTTGCGCTCTTCGAGGAGTTGTTGAAACTCCTCGTCGTCAATTTCTCTCCAGCAGATGGCACGAGACTCCCACTTCCGACGAATCATTTCAAGGTCAGGAAGGGCGCTCGAGGCTTGGCTGAGGTTGACGAAAGGGATGTTAGCAGGCCAGCCTTCGATAACGACTTTATAGCGCTGGATAACGTTGCGGAAATAATTCGCCCAGTGCATCTTCGCGTTTTCGTCCTTAGTGATTGCCATTACATGGTAATAGTAATTAGAATTGTAGTATGAAAAATAAATTGAAAGAAAGCTCACCAAGTCCCTTCTGAATTTCGTGGCGGATCGCCGCACGAACATCGGAACAACGCTTTTGATGATTTTTCGCAGCACCTGTTGAGTAATGGAATTTAGTGTGATGAGCAAAGGTACAAGCAAACATACCTTTCATGCCCTGGACAGCGAATCCTTCCATCTTGCTAATTAAATCTTGATTGTCGATATTCATTACAGACGACATAAACTCGTCCACACCTTCGGTAGCAAAAGCGACACCACGAAGAGGGAGGTCCGTGGACCCACGCGTCGTGTAGAGGATCGCCTCGGCTCCCGTACGGCTCCTCAAATTGTTAAGCTATAAACTGTGTCAGTGAATCGAAAATGAAGATGCGTGAGGACTCGCCTCGTTCTCAACGGCCTTGAGGGTCTGGGTGACATCATTAACCTTTGACTTTGTTGAAATTCGGATGCCCGTGGCTTGTGTCTCCTTGTGCTCGCTGTACTCGAGCAAAATCGCAGCCTTCTCGTCATCTGTGAGCTCTTGATATTCCGCACGGTGGCTCTTGACGAGTTCTTGTAGGACGTCCTTGCCTGTCGCCCCTTGATGGCACAGTAAGTACGATGTTCGTGTGTTGTCAAACCACGTACCATTCTCTTGATTATCCTGCCGTTTTTTCCAACAGAATGCGTTCCACGCATTCAACTTCGAGCGCTTGAATCTCATCATCCCCCGGCCTAAACATAAGTCATTTTGTACACGGCGGAAACTCTTGTGGTGAGAAGATGCGATTTCCTTTACGGTCTCATCGAGACCGTTCCAAGCATCACCGAGAGCTGATCTGAATTGATGCGCATTTTCACGACGCCGAGCAGTAAGGGCAGCGCGGGCCTCCTTACTGAGAGTGACCCTCGTGCGACGAGTAGGCAAAGCCTGGATGCGTTTGCGAGTCTGTGTCGCGTGAAAGGTCTGGGTGGCCATTGACCTGGGTATTTCAGCGGTTAGTAAACACCCACGCAGCCAATTTATACGCAAATGGCGAGCACAACGGAGCACATATATTGGTGTAACTATTCAAAAAAAACATCGGTGGCTTTTGCCACACACAATCGGGGATCTAGAACAAGAACAAGAGAAAAAACAAGTAAAGTGCGCACATAAAAACTAGGGCGCCAAGAAATGTGAATATTTGTGAAAGGAACGAAGACGGCGGCTAGAAAGTGATTAAATTGTCAATCAATTCAAATAACGGTAGAAATATAAAATACCTTAGTGTTTGTGGGCATAGCTCGGTTGCTGTGAACGTCAGAATTGAGTGCCCTACTCAGGTTCAATGCCTGTTCATAAGTCAGGTTCCATTTCGGTGATTGAAGCACAGCCTCCCAGCGGCTGCTGCGAACGGAGCCGATGAGCTGATGAAGTTTGGGAAGTATGTGATCGTCTAAACCGAACCGATCAAGCACAGCATCGGAGTGCGGACCTATGCTGATCAAGGGGGCCCCGGCTTGGAAAGATGCTGCTGCACCAGTTGACTTGGTCGTATTTTTGGTACCGGGGGGCTTTGGGACAGTTGCAGTACCTTGTTGAGCGGCACTCAATAGAAATGCGTCAGCGTTGCGACGCTGCCGAATGTCTGACTTGCTCTTGCTAGGCGATGCTTTCGCGAGGGCTTGACCCATCTGAACAGCAGCTGAAAGCGACTTGTTACTAACTTCAAAATCACGTTCGAACTGCTTGGTGGGACGAGCGGAACACTGAATACGTGCACCTGTGGCCACCAAGGGTCCAGGCAAAAATGGGGGTCCAGAAGGATTCACTTGACTTGCCGGGTCTTTGAAAAAAGTAAGCTTGTGAACATGGAAACAGAGGAGACTCACAATGCCGGGGAGGGATGATGCCCTCAATGCGACAACGTTCTGCATAGCGCTGCAGATGGGGGATGACAAACTCCTCGCTGAAAGCCTGCACTAAGGCTGATAAATCTCCCCCAATCCGCTCTGGTGTTTCACGATGTTCCCGTGGCGTAATGTACAGATCGACAGTGAAGTGCTCCGGAGACAGCGTTTCTGAGGCTTCAGAACCAGCACAACGCATGAGGATGGAAATTCCACCATCAAGACGATCTTGCATTGTGATCTAACAATCTATGTCATTAGTATACAAAGATAGAAAATAAAAAAAGCTCACCGCATCAAACAGGTCTTGTAATGCTGCGTCAAGGAAATCTTCTTGTGTGATGGATCGTTCGTTTGATGATGTGTATGAATTGAAGGCGATATGAGATGGATGGAGGCCACCAGGCTTTCGGGTATGATAGTGAGTACCGTCAACGTGGGCTTCATGCTTGAGTAACGCGCGAGCTGCTGCCTGTCGTTCTCCGTTGCTGAAACCTTGAGCAAACGAGCTTGAGTGTAGCGCTGCTAAGCTGGACAGTGAGAAGCGAGCCACCTGCACTGGCTTGTCCATAACACCAGACACAGTTTCTGGAGATTCTGCACGAGCTGGAAGTGTCTTGTTTGGAGTGGTGGGGGAGGGGGCATAGACAGAGTGAACCATGGTTGAAGCGCGAGGTTGAAGCGCGAGATTTGGGAGAGCGGTTATGAAAGTAATGAAATTTGAGGCCTTGAGGCATGTATTGATACCGATTATGTTAAGAGTGCGCTCCTAAGTCATAAGTATTAGTAGCAGGTAAATATCATGAGCGCAGATCACAATATGTAATTAAGTAGCAGATGATATGTAGAAAGGGAATGTGTTAAAGAGCCTAAGTATATAGTAGCAGATGATATGTAGAAAGGGAATATGTTAAGAACGGCCTAAGTATGTAGCAGATGATATGTAGAAAGGGAATATGTTAAGCTTGAGGATTATCATATGTATATTGAGCGCAAATCACACTACACCGCAGAGGAATATTTTAAGGATCATCATACATTTCTCCCATTCCACTACAGTTCGGCCACTAGCATTTTGCGTGTCTGAACATCTCGAATTCCAATATCAACACTACTATTGTATTTTCGACGCAACATTTACTCTACAACGGATGCCAAAAAATCAGCGAAATCTTCTACATTCTGTTCTTGCTCCTCATGCTCAAGATTATCTCCACCACTTTGTTCGTCAGTTGTTGAAATTGTCGAAGTCGCCATCATCCGCTCAGGTTCTGCATTAGAGATATGTAAGCTGCAAATAATGAAGAGCGGGGGACATACCATGGCTAGATGTGCCGTTGAGTCGAGTTCCGAGGCCTCTTTTGCCTGAAAAGCCTGCCTGTGACATGATTCGATCTAATCTAAACAAATGCGCTGCATTGATGGCAGCGCGACTGCGCCATTGACGTTGCAGTTCAAGTCCAACAGGTTTGTTGGATACGAGAAGGGAATTGATGGTGGCATTCACAGTGAGTTCCTCATCATGTATGGCTGTACGCAACCGACGAATTTCAATATTCAAGCGTTGAATCTCTTCACGGGCACGTTGAAGTTTGAAGTACTTTACCGTAGCTTCGCGATGCGCAGGTTTGGTCCAGTCCAGGGTGCGAATGTCAGAACGAGACTGGCGCAAAAGATCGAACTCGCCCAGAAAGCTGTACTCCACTATATCTTTCCAAGTGAGCTGTGGACGCGGAGGTACAAGAGCAGCAGCCTGCAGATTGAACCGGCTAAGTGCGTTCCGAATCGCCTGTGATCGACGTTGTAGAGCCTTGCTAATTTGTTGACGTAGTTTGTAGCCTAAAATAAACAAAATAAACACTTATGTGAGTGCGCAAATAGCATGATCTTACCCGTGCCTGAAAGCGAGAGTTTCGACAACTCAAATAGACGCATCACGACAAGTCGTTCTAAGTCATCGAGTGCTGTGCGGTAAGTCAAAAGTGAAGCTTCTTGGTGAAATTGACGGTAGAGTTCGCTGTCAATCTCCCATCGCTTGTCAATCCCAAGTTGAATCTCTAAATGCGAAGCCATCGCTTCCGCATTTTGAAGCTTCGAATATGATCCGTCAACTCGGATCCGGGCTTGATTGATGGCGGTGTGCATTTCCTGATAGCCGCCGACATGAATATCCACAAGCGCCCGATTGGCGGCTTCTCGTGCTGTGTTCCATTCCTTTCTGTCATATACATAATGTAAGTGCCAAATAAATACAAATTAAACTATATGACTTACTGGCGGACGACAACTTCATCAAGAGCTTGAACATATCGAACACTGACACGATCCTTGACAGGGGGTTCCTTCAGGCCATCGAGGTATGAGCGCTCTTCCTTGTGAAAACGAACGAAGTCGGTGTGTGTGAGATTGAGGACACCTTCCAGTGAGGAAAGTTCGCTGGTGAGAGTTTGAATGGCAGTGAGTGCCTCTCGGTAATGATTCTGTAAAAATGTACCTACACATCAACCCGTTAGCTTAGGATTTCGTAAAATGATAATAACTTACTAAGCGCTGCGTACTTGTCATCGTCCCAAAAGGCAAAGTGTTGCTCGATCGTTTGATGCCGGTGAAATGGAGTAGCGTGGCGAGTGCTGCGCGCAAGCTCATTTGATGATGAAAAAATGTGTTCACAGCCTTCTCCCTCGGTGTGGCCAGTACCTTCTATGTACATCGGATGCCAGTCAATTTGACACCGTCGGTTGTGAGCATGCCATGGAAAGCTCCGACCATCAGTCGTAAATTGAGTTACACGAGCTCGGGGTCCAAGGCAGCTATTTTCCAGTGTCTTGGAAAATGCGCATCCAATATCGTATGCAACGCCACCATTCTTCCCGTAGACATTGAGCAGATGATCTAAAATAGCGAGCGGGTATTTTGAGCTTGAAAAATCAGTCAGCGATGATGATGACAAAATCAAAAT